CTAAACAAATAACTAATATCATATTATAATTGTTTTGTCAATTGTCTTCCATATACGTTGAGTCACGTTCAAAAAGTGTTTTTTTCATAATCGACTATTTCAATCTAAAAATTTGCATTTCAAAAATAACACTGTTAACATAGTACGTGATGTTGACATAATAATACCAATATTGTATACTTACACTTACTAGGAGGTGCTGGTGCCAAGTGAACACAATTACATATCTATACTGGAATGTTTTAGTTTCTTTTAAAAGCGAGACTTCATATTTTTAACGAATACCTAACGGAACTATTTCGTGCCAAATAAAAAATTGGCAAACCACCCAGATCATAGAGTGAATTATAATTCTAAAAATATGCAATAAACTAGGCCATAAGTGGAATCCAAAACTGTTTATTTAAAAAAATATATTTTAAATAATAATAGATACAAGTATTTAATATTTATTGTTAATTTTGTTTCATTTAAGAAATAAATGATATACATATGTATACTATCTATGTCAGGGTACGTAGTACAATAAGTAATTTCTATAGTTGAAAAATGGAATCAAACCTAAGTCCTAAATGCCTAAATGGCTAAGTGCCATTTTTTCCAAAAATTATTTTTCCAGCCAAAAAGGATGTATGTTTCAACGCCAATGTAACCAGAAATTTCCTTGTCGATTGGCACTTATAGCCTTTTTTATTACACTCTTCAATTATATTACATATATATATATATATATATATATATATATATATATTATAAGCATCTATAATGTACAAAATTATAAAATGCTTGAGATGACTGAGTAGAAACGTCGAAGATAGTGATGTGTTATAAACGCATCTATAATTTGGTTTAAATAGTTGTTTGTTATTACTATTGGTTTTTTCAACATCAAAAAAACAGCTACTAGTCGAAATTGATATGACGATTTGTATAATAGTTTTTCGAGTGCGTTCCGTTGGCCAAAATAGCTGCTCTAAACGCTATACTGTATAAAAATGACCTAAATGTAAACGTTATTCTAGTATTTAATGTAATACTTTATAATATATCATTATTATGATTGGGTTATGCAATTAGGCCGTGGCAGTACGTAATATTGGAGTTATATTTTCATGCGAATTAAATTAGCTCGCAAATATCCCATTAATCAGTCACGTATAATTTGTTTTTGTAATACCAGTTGTGGTTTAATTAGGTGTACAGGCGTTTATCTCTCCTCGTTTGCTTCCTACTCGTTATACGAATGGATTATTGGACTCGAGTAGCCCATCAATCGCTTAGAAATCACATCCGGAATGTACAGAGGGTAAGTTTAAAGTCGGAAAAATTTGTTGATTTTGGCCGTGATACTTTTTGTTTTAAATATCTGTTCACAAATAATTGATTTAATAATGATATTATTAAGTTTTACTTAAACTTGATGTATGTTGCCCACGTTGCTTCTATAGTTGCGTATGCATAATAATTATTTTATGTAACGACAACAACATGATAAAATATATATTCTTTTTTGTCGGGAGATTCAGAAATCAGATTTTATAGTGCTATAAAGTATATTAGGAGGAGATACTGTATTGTGGTTTTAATTAGCCGACGCCTTTCTCCGCCGCAAATGCAGTAAATCATTTTAGCGAACGATGGCGTCAAAAGAATAAAGACGTTTCGCCACTTCATCGAAACAATGCAATAATATGTCTACTACAATATGTAATATCAATTCAGCCGTTTATTTAGCAGTTAATTATCTCCTTTGTTGTTTCTATTTCCATATATTGGTCAGTAACGATCATACTAGAGGAAGCGTAGGAGTCGGGAATTTGATGGGCAATATTAGTGTTGGGAAATGTTATAGTAATAAATATTATTACCTAGATAACTGACAAGTGTGTAATAACAAATACAGGGACATGATATACTATATTCTCGTCCAATCGTTAAGTTCAGACATTTTACAGTATAAACTGCTATGATATTATTATAGAATTTATACGTTAGAAACCAGTTTAGAATTGATGTTCTTTTTTTTTTACTTCCAGTTGCTGAAGAAGTCAATAGAATAAAATCTATACATATTTTGTGGACACAATTGTTTTTTTTTTCAACGGACATATACAAATCTACATATAAGTTACACCATATATATAGATTAAATTATTTAGAAGGCGACGCTTAAACAATTATTGCATAATGATATATATTTTGAAAATTACATAACAATAATATATTATTGCTGTACCTATTTGTTTTTTACAATTCAGTTTTGTAACTGTTACATTAGATTGTGTTGATAACACTTTGCTTAGCGGTGCTGTCGGTATAAATTAAATTAAAATATTTGTAACTCGCTCTTAAAAGGAGACTTTCTGATTGCCTACCCGTAACTCCTATTGACGGAAATTTAGTTGGGCCTTGGAATATAAAAATCTTTAAAACCTAAAGTTAGTGCTGTTGGCCTATACATTTTAAGGTTTTATTTATTTAGAAAGATACGATCGTATTTGTTTAATATCAATTTAACAATCCTGATTTAAACTTATAGTTAGGTTAGGTTTTACTTCACTTGAGAAACTTGTTTTGTTCCTCTATTTGTGCCAATAAGAATAGTACTTTTGTAACAATTAATTTCGAATCAACATAACGAACACATTTATTCAAACAAGACATTATTCGATTTTTTTTATTCAAAAATAAAATATCATATCATTCGAATAAAAAGTTTTTAATTTTAAGTTGGGCATTATTTAGCTGTAGACGTATTCTCAACAAAAACAATTTGAATAACGAAGGTATTGTTTTAATTTTAGTTTTATAAGAAATTAACGCTTTATTATTCGAATAAATAATGTCCAACTCTGTATCAAACGTACAAATTCAGAATGATGTTTATTTTGTAAGTCTGTACTTACTGTAACTCTTTATTTCTATAAATTTACATTGAATTTGCTTAGATAGTTTTGTAAATCAACACTAAACGACTACTGCACTGTGCGATAACTTCTTAGACACAGCATCTTCAAAAAAATTAAATAGAACCAAATGTTACATTCCTATTCACTGGGCTGTACTTGTGGCGCCTCTTCGTACATTATATGTTATTTGATATTCATTATTTAACATATTATTTTATTATCGAGTATTATGCTGGCAGTTTTGGCAAACTCACAAATTGCCAGTCTGTGAGAATCGAGCTGTCCGTCGAGAAACCGTGACGAATACTAATAGCCGCCAAGGTGATTCTCACGAGAATCCCCGACGTTGCCATCTGTCAGGTCAAAGTAGTTCGTACATAGACAGCTCTATTGTATTTTTATTTTTTTGAACTTCCAGCTAATAAAGCCACGTTCTTAACCCGTGGGCAGGGCGACCACGCAGTGAAGGTCTCGCAGATACTTATTTTGAAAGCTATATTGTTATTTGTATTGCATGAGACGTTTATGACTTCCATCTAAAACGCATACCTAGATGCACGTCGTTCGGTGTAGCAATTTTTATTCTGCACGGTGCACATTGTCGCTTATGTATTATCAATATATACTGCAAGCATATAACTAATAAAATAATATAATATTTTAATTCACATATTTTCTGTAGATCACAATCGTTCACCACATGGGAAAATCTTTTATGCCACAACTTGAGTAAACAAGTCTTGGTTGTTAACATCTAAAATATCTAATAAAATGTTTAGGGTATCGTTGGACACTATTACAATATATTCAATTTATCCCATACAGCAATTAAAAACATTTTATTTTATTTTGATACCGTTAAACGTCGTAATGGTCTCTTGGAAAATAGTTTTTAATTTATTTAGAAATATTTTTTATCTCAAGAGGAAGTCATAATCCCATTTTTTAAAGAGTTAGCCGTTAGATGTATGCGATTTGTTGAAAAATTTAAAGGTTAAACTAATTTTTTTTAGTACCTAGTTAATTTATTTTTTATACTATCACAGAATCCTTAGCAGCGATTAAAAAAAAATTATCTAAACATATCTACGCCTATTCTCTATTACTGTCTAAATAATGATGATGGAATTTTTTTTAGATATTTAAAATAATGACAACTTTATCTAGGTTTTCTCGTCGGCTTTTTTTTTAAATTATTAACCCAAAATTTACTATTTACATTTTAAAATTGTTTTCTCTTTTTAAGTGCTTGTATTTAAATTTCTAAAAAAAAAAATCAACAAGAGAACCTGTTTTTCTATGACTATTTGCTTTGACCTACACGCTTTTCCATAAAAACGTCTTGGCGGTTATTTTTAAAGGGTATGACGTCCTCATGAAAGGTCAAACAATGTCGGAAGAAACGGCAGTTGGTCAAACGGGTTTGAAATATTTTTCAAACAAAGCATATTGTTAAGTCGTTGATGCGATGACCTCAAACTGCATAATAGTTTCCATGAAAGGCCACTAATCAAAACTAGATACTTTCCTTAAATATACCTTATTTAATTAATTTATGGCTGTTAATTAAATTATACTGTATCAATAATCGTCGATTAGTTCATGACTGCTGATTTTCGGTTTACCTATACCGGAAATGAAAAGATATATTATTTTTAACAAGACACTTTTTCGATTTATATTGTAAATTTGTCTTGCGATAATTATGATAGTAGCGAAAATTAATTTAGTTAAATTGTATAGTACCGCGGTCTATTACCACGTATTCCTTATTGTGTTTTATATTGTTATTTTATGGTACACAATGTAAAATTTTACTTTGAAATATACAATAATTAAATCAGTTACATAACTAAAAACGTACCTAATTAATATTTCAATATTACGTAATTGTACTGTCTATTAAAATTGTTTTAAATATTTAATTATTCTCTTAGCTAAAAGATGTATTAAATTTTGTCATTAAATTACAATTTATGCAGTTTTATAGTTTAAAAATAAATTACTGTTACTTAGTAACTTTAACATTAAAACTCTTTTATATTTTTTCATTTGTAATTGAAAAATTAACCATAAATAAAAGATACACAATTTTCTTATTACAAGATCAATCAATTGTTTATTTTTAATAAAGGCATCGACAATTAATAACAATGGATACATTTATTATTATAATAATAGTTTATTATCTTCTAAATATACATTATTATATTTATCGCATTAACGACTAGTAGCCGTTTTACATTTTGAACCGACGCTCGAGACACATAATACAGATTTATGATTATCTCAACATATTATAATATATTATTATAGAATTAATACAAAACTATCATAATATGGTACAAAACATACATTTAACAAAGGAAAAAATAATGTAAAAAAAAGAAAACTTTAAACAACGAATAGGTAGATACTGTAGGAAAAACAGAAAAAATATTGTCTGTGTACCGGCTTAGAGAAAACAAGTACTCGATATTTGTTTACGATTCAGATGCGACGGTTGTGTCCGGTACATATGGCAAGGTCACACACTTAACTTGCACGGTCAAACACCTGGTGGTAACCGTGTTATAAGAAAACGCTGAGAGAAAATCCGTCATTTGTGAGTAGAAGGCTAAAAATTGATTAAATTAATCATTAACTTTGATCTTAAAGGGTCGACCACTGATCCAAAAACATGAACGTAAAACATAAAAATATAATTTTATCATTTGGGAAATTACAACATGCTTTAAATTATTTAAATCAACAAGATTACACGAAATTATTTTTATTAAAAAAATACTTTCAAATAAAATGTTAAAAAACAATTGACAAAATATTTAGTCGAAACATTTAAGGAGGAAATGACGAGTAAGACTTCTTGTTTATAGAATGTTTTGTACAAAATGTAGGGATATTTTTTTGAAACGTTAAATCATAGGCCAAAAATAATTTTTAAACATTTAATTCCGTTTTGTCGACATTTCAATAATTAAATGTTTAAAAATAAGTTTTAGTTAATTTTTTTTAATAAGCAGTTTCCTGAGTTTTGCGGATAACAATATATTATTTTGGAATCGAATAGACCGTCTTAGACCCCAAATCCAGATATATAATATTGCGGTGTCTACTTACAAAAAAAAAAACAAACAAATTTATCACCACAAGTCGTGGTCGGAATACAACGGTCTGTGGAAGGGCAAAGAAGGGAACGACGGGAACGATGATGATTTGTGCACATCGACCGGATAGGGATGCGGCACCGGTATGCCCACGTGCTTGACCACCGGATAGGGATAAGCATGGTGTACGTGCACGGGATAAGGTCGGTCAACGGGCACGGGTATGTGTTTCTCGACGGTCACTGGATACGGTTTGGGAACGGCCACCGGATACGGTCGGGGCACTTCGACCGGATACGGAGCGGCCACGGGATAGGGCACGTGCTTCTCGACGGTCACGGGGTACGGCTGAGGTACCGGCACGCTTTTGGTAATCGTCGTGGCCGTGTGGATATGAGTGGGATAATGATGCTTGTGGATGTGCGGAAAGTGTCCGGAGTATCCACCGATGGCGCTGCCCAGCCCGTATCCGCCCAGCGTACCGTAACCCTGGTCGTGGTGATCGTTGAAACCGAAACCGAAGTCCCACAGGCCGCGTTTCCCGACCTTCTTGTCGTCCGCGCTTTTGTTTTCGGTCGCGGGTTTTTCTGAAGTCTCTTCGCACATGACCGACGACAGCGAGGCCAAAAACAAACAAACCGCCTGCAACAGAAAGTGGTTATACTTAAAACAATGTAAAAAAAAGTATTAACGATATTGGTTAAGTCTATAGATCGAAAATCCAAACAATTAAAATATTGACAAACGCGTTTTCAATATTTATCAAAATATATAACAGTGATGTTTAGGCGTGAAATTTAACGTCTAAAAAATTGTATTTATAAAGTATCGTTTAAATATTCAACATATTTTCATAACGTTTGTATTTGAAAATAACATGTTTGACAATATTTTTAAAATATTTAAATTCTTTTGCAGTTTGTGAGCAGATAATTGATAACGATATATTTTTTTCCATAAGAACAATTTGCAAGTAATTTACAATAATTACTAACGCTGTTGTGTATGAAGACCGCATACGGCAAAGCACGTAAATTGCCTATACAATACGCCGCCTTAGAGACTATTATGGTATTAAGAGTATAATAATCATGTACCTATCCTTGTCACGATTTCTTTTTGGTTTTTTTCTTGTTGATCTTAACACAAATCATATTTGTACTACTCAATTTTTTTTGAAAAATAAGCTTCATAGTTTTATAGTTTCCTTTGTCTAATATATTTTTTGACATTCACACACAGACTTTGTCATATCGTATAAGTAAAAATCGTCACTTTAAACATTCAAATTACTATTATAATATATTCTATTTGATTTGATTAAAAAATACATTTTTATAAAAGCTGAAATAAGTTCGTACAAACGTTTCTTATAAGATTTTCATACTTCATATGAATTTGCTGAACATTTTGACTGGTTTTTAAAGTTATTTAAGTTTAAAGCGAAAAGAAGAGTGAAGTGTATAGTATTATTTGTATTAGTTAACCTCACTCCCCTCCCGTTCTGAATTTTAAACTCTAATAACTTTAAAAGTAATTACTCGAATATGGTTATCGAACAGTCATCATTTTCAACAAATTATTCTCATTTTAAGAATTTAATTCTAATTTAATAATATTAACTATATATATATATATATATATATTGAATTTAATAATATATACTCCCGTTTTACAAGATGAAGGAACTCTGAAAAATACTAGAAATCCAAATACTTGGTAATTTTATAATATTGTACAATAACAAATAAAAATGTATTCAAAAAGAAAAACTACAAAATTGAAACTATTTTTTGAGAAAATGAATTTCTTACGTTAACTGGATTTCCCGGTAAATATTTTAACAATGTTTTATAAATATATTTTTAAAACCACGAATCTCTGGTAGAAAAATATGTTCAGTCTGTTAAACCCAATTAAAGGATGTTTGAACTTCGAATTTTTTAAAAACTTTTGCTTAAATATTGTGAAAACTTGTTTTTGCTAGCAATATCTTAAAAACTATTACATATTCGAATGCCTACTTTGTAGGCTTCTTGTACATACGATATTATTACATGACAATATTATAAATAATATTACTCATTACATAATATAGTTCGCTTTATTATTTTCGAAATTCAAACATTTAAAAATAATTTGTTTACATTTAACGGGAAACCAATATTGATCGCTGAAAAAATTACAAACATGATCCTACATGTATAGTGTGTTGTATTAATATTAGCTTTAAATCACTTCCATACACAATGTATGAAATCTACGAAATCTATTTTACTTAGAAAACGTGTGAATATTTTTGCCCTACGTGGTTCGAATAGTACCCACCTCATTTTTCGTATAATATCTAACGATATTACCGAAGGTTTTCTGTTTTCACAACAACGGTATTGGGCCATAACTCGCTCATACAAGACGACATATAATATAATACACCTACTATTATTTAATGCCATTATTATAATCACCGAATTTGGTTTTTATTTCATATATTTTACAAGCATAGTAGTGTATAATATATATTATATAGTAGTGTCAACGGTACGGCGGGCTACCCAATGGTTGTGCAGAAGTTCCTCAAGACGAAAAACAAAAAAAAAACGCATAATAGCAGTAATATAATATATTAAAATCATTGAAATTCCAAAACGGCACGGTTGACATCACGAGGTGTTAACCTGCATAACATAACAATAATAATAATGTTATTATAATCATTTGTCGTTTGCATAATATAATATTTTTCGTTTGTACAAAATACATATGCGCCGGTCGGTAATGACGCGTGACAGTAGCCGACGATTACCGTTTGGTATAAAGAATTATTATCGTTATTATTATTATTATTTATTGATGGTATTTCGTATCGGTCGCAGACAACGGTACCGGTTTGGGTGCGTTATTATAAAAAAAATAAAAAAACGGCGTGTACGATGTCGATGGAGAAATGGGGCAAATTGCGTGGAATTTTCTTATGTACGGTAAACGCATGCGGCGTGTGTATTGTTAAGTATGTATATACTTATATATATATATATTTATATATTTATACATGTATATACGCCTGTGCGTGCGATATGGGCGCGCGCGATGAATACTAATAAATAAATAATAGTAAAAAATAATTGAATAAAAAACACACACACACCGCGGTCCGAGTTGTGCAACCGTCGTTTCCTGGCGCAACACGGTGGAAACCGCGCCGGACGCAACCCTTTTCTAGTGTCAAGTGTGACCGAAGCGCCAAGGCTAATCATATTTCATATTAATAAGTAGTTTGAGAAATTATCTTGGTGCCGACGATAATTGAACGTAACACGATCTAGGCCTAAGGACAGACGAAGAACGAGAAACGTTAAACAACGGTCGATCACCACAATAATATGTAAAAAAAATGCATTGTGAATTGAACGGCTATTGTTGTTAATAATGAGAGATGAGCCCGATGGCTGGTGTTGGTATGGTTTTTATCTCAACCGACATTATCGAGCCGGAATCGTTGTCTCTTATACTGATAGACCATAGGAAAATGACAAAAATTGTAATTTTTATATTGTTATTCAGAAAACATCAGGTAATGCTTTATATTATCTATATTTCTTTATAACCTAGTAATTTCACACATCGATATCGTATCTATTCAGATATGTTTTATTAAATAAATTCCGTGGCTAGTGTCTAAATTAACCTAAATACTCAACACTATTAAAAATCCTAATCTATTTATTTTTAAAAACAATTTTTTTTTAACAAAATACATGACTTAACAAAAAACTTGAACATGTTCTTTTAAATTTAAGTTTTAAGGTGATACTTACTTTATTTTTTTACTTTTCGCAGTTTTAGATAAATCTCCACTAAACGTGATTAAGATAAATACAAATAACGTTAATTTTAAGTACTCGAAAATAGTATAAAAATGTTAAAGATCCTATTATTTTATCATGCATTATTTAATTTCTAGAATTTTTTTTAAAGTAGGTTTAACCAGGTTTTATACTTTAAGCCCGGCAATTATAATATATTTTAATATAAGTAGATTTTAAAAAAAAATTGTTGACTTTTATAAGAGTTTTAAACAAAAATTTAAAATATGTTTTTAATGTGTTGACAACAATTTTTTAAATATTTGAACAATTAGTTTTTGGCCAGTCATTATACATTTTAAAAATATATTCTTTTAAAAAGATGCTAAAATATTATGTAAATAATATTACTTTAATTCCAACAATTGAATAATTATTTCTTATGAGATTTAATAAACACGGAAAAATGAACCAATAACATTTTGTAAACGATAATATATTATTTCTATAACTGTATTACTATGTTTTCTGGATTAAAAATATTATTATATTATTATCAATACCTTAGCGTTAAAATATTTACTATATTTTAAGAAAACGTTTTTAAACGTTATTTTGGAGGTACTATTTACACAACATTTTGATACGTTTAACCACTGATGAAAAACTACTATTAGACTATGTTTAGTTTTTTAGTCTGTTAGCGTTAGTTATGTTGAGATATTATTTGGTGGCCGTATCAAGTAGGTGAAATCAATAAGATTGAATCGATCAATACAAAGGCGTTCTTTACGATCTTATCTTATGAACTCAAACAAACTATAGGCGCCTTGTCTGGTAAAGCAACAGCAGATTTCGTTGTAGGTTCGCCTTCGTTAAAGAGAAACTGTCGTGAATGTGTGTTTAGATTTATGATTTTGGTGATAATGAACTTATTTTAGAAATTTGTCCTTATTCCCTTTTAGGAGTCAAAATTTACATACCTATTTTGTGTTTAATAATTGTTGAACTCCAAAAATACTAATTCCCCGTTTTAGGATTTAATGCATTATATATTATACTAAAGTAACAAACAAAAAAAAAAATACTTTCCTTGTGTGAAAGTCGAGATTCGTCGTACTTAGTAAGAATCGTTTACTTTAATCATTTATTTTTAAGATCTAAAGATTAAAGACTTTGCTCATAAACAATATCACGTTTGCCATTATAGCGATTCACGAGATTTATATAAAAAAAAAAAAACCTATAATGTTTTCGTCAATGGTGGCAGTACCTAGATGAACTGTTTTTATATAATACCAATAAAAAAAACAGAAAGTAGACTTGTTCACAGCACGTACAATACACGTCTCGTAATTCGAATATATTAAATTAAATTGTCCAAATGATATGATTATACCCATCGAATTTTCTCTAAAAGAAAAACGATTGTTGTTCACCGTGTAACACATGTCGGCGGCGACACTGTGCGGAATACATAATAATATTATATTTTACATTATGTATGCCGTCAAGTGAATTTGGTTTTACAATTACTACACAGTCCGATTATAATATATAATATATACACAATTTTTTAAGTCACCCCATATAAGCAGAGATTTGAAAATGATAATACGCTTAAAAATTACTAAAAAAAAAAAAAAAGATATATTAATTTAACAATGACATTTTAAAAACGCGAGTTTACAATAATACATTTTAATACAGACAGACAGTGTTTCTATCCTGCCATACATTAAAATAGGAATAACATTTTTGTATTGTTCGAGATTCAGATTTGGTGCTGGTAGTGTTAGCTTACAGTTTATTTCCCAAAAAAAAACCTATGTATGTGCATTCAATTTAAATCATAAAAACAAAAATTATTAATTGAACATTTGTGTTCACTTCATATTCATGGAAATCGTTAAATCATTATGCCTCTGCGAGATGACTAACTTTTGTACTAATATAATATATATAACATATCATATTAAACGGTTGTTTGCAAGTATTGTGTCAATATCATCATCCGGATAGAGAAGGGAATTGAACAAACAATTAATAATTATTTAATAGGTAATAATAACGGCAGAGAAACGACTGTTTATTGGCGAGCTGCCCAAGAAAAAATATATTTCATAATAAAACTATCGAACACAATATCAATACAATAGTAATAAATATTTCAAAAGTCATAACAATAGTTTTACAAAGCCATTTTTATTTTATTTTATTCGCTAAATAGTTCTGGATTAACTCTTTAAATAATGGCGCCAAATCTAGATCACACAAAACAAACAATTTTATTTATATCAATAGAGATCAGATTTGGCTGGCTGACCACATTTCTGTGTGTGATAAGAATGCACTAACAGATTTTATTTATAACAAATTATAAATCGTATTGAATAAAAGTTTGATTTTAAATAATTAAGTTAAATTTTTTTTTAAACTTAAATGTTATTTCCATTATTATTATTATTTGAATTTTTAATGAATTGCAAATTATTTTAATAATGCAAAGGTTTGTCTAAAACCAAAATATTTTTAGCTTTAAGACCAAGTTATTTTAATAGAGTTATACATTTAATTAAAGTAAAGGCAATAGTTTTGAATATTTCTAAAACCCGTTTGAAACTACCCCGTATGCTTACAAACTTTTCCCAATCTTGTAATTCTTATAAACTTTTTGTTAATCAATCGTTAATTTATTTTGATCCGGTTCAACTATGACAAAATAAAAATATTATGTATCTATTATAAATAAGTAAAATTATTTATTCGATTTTCATGTGGATTTGGATTTTTTTATTTATTGCATAATTGTCTTATATTATTTTTAATTGAAAGCTAAATAAAAACGAAATGGCCTTTTATCTTATGTGCTTTATGAATAAAAATATCCTTTGATTATCAAGCTTAATTAATTGTATATAAAATAAAACAAATTGACTGTTTTGTTTATTTTATTGTTTAGAATTTATAACACAAGAAAAAACTATTGTATTTTGTTATTAAACAATGAATATTTTTGTAATTTTTAATAATATCCAGAAAAAAGTAGTAAAATATTTGAAATTGAAATATTTTAAAAGAAAATATCTAGTAAACATTTATATTAATAAAACTATTTAGTAGTCATTTTATAAATTAGGTACTCAAAACACTTAAAATATAGTTTAAACTCATTAATGTATTTACCAGTTCCCTAGGATGGCAACTCTTGTCTCTAGTAGAACAAGAGTTATCCAACCGACCTAAAGATCGTACAAAAAAACGTATATTTTAAACTTTCAAATAAAACAACTGTTCTAAAAAATTTGTTTCACAACATTTTGGGATTATTAAAAAAATGTGTCTGATTAATTAAAAAATAATTATAAAATGTATAAATATTTTAATTGGTTTTTAAATGATTGGTAAATAATGAACCCGGCATTGAATTTGAAATTGTTGAAATTTTAGGATTATTTTAAATATCTACTTTATAAAAACAATCACACCAATCGTTTACTAACGATACTCTATTAAAAATTAACGCTAATGTTTACCAATATAGTTACATGAATAATAATAATTACACGAATATAACAAAGGCAAATTGTACTTATTAAAAAAAAAATGTTATCTGTATCATTTTTTACGAGTGCGATGAATATTATCCGCATATAACCTAAGTTTTTGTTAGTATTTTAGCGATTTCGCGTATTGACTTACCACGTTCTTCATATTTTGCTTAGTCGATTAAAAACTAAAAATTAAATAAAAACACAGCACAAAAAAAAACAAGTTAAATAGTAAAAACGATAATAGTTTAAAAAAAAGAATAATAAAAAAATACAACCCTTGGTCGGTCGAACAACGTGTGACGCGCGGTCGACAGACTTATATATAAAAACAGTTCGAGTAGCTGACAATCCCACCACCACCGCCTTATTATAGCAGATACATGTCCGTATCACAGTCCAGTATAGGTACATGAACACTATGTATCCCACTTGTTGAATTAATGATCTAACCTTCTATTCGTTATAGATCTATCGATACATTTCTACAATAATAATATTATGTTGTCTTACACGCGATGACCGTCACGCCATCGTGTCCGTTTTCGACGCGCAATTAAAATAGGTTTAGGTGATTTTGCAATTATTAGATTTATTTTGTAAATAACGCACTTGCGTTACACGCCGTGGTACTTGGTATTATTAGACAGAAAAATATACATGTTCATCCAACTAAAATTATGATTAATATAGGGACACAACAAATTTCTAGCTAGGATAGCTAAATAAATAGTTGTGCCAGCTACATTTTTATTTATAGTAACTATAAGTTTAGTTGGGCCAACTAAGTCCAACCACAATTTTACAAACTATGTATTTTTAAATTTTATATTATTTAGAAGTTTTAGAACTAGTCTGATAATGTTTGTGTAAAACAGTTATTGTCTTAAGTAAATGTATAGTTAAACATTTTGGGTGAAACATGTTTTAGTTCATATCTATAAATATAATAATTAGTATTACTAAATAGGTACTCGTAGTTAGTATAAGTATTAATTGTAAAACTATTTCATAGTTTTACGATTTCATTTACTTGGTTTCGAGAGTTTCTTTATAACAAAATTATGCAATTTCAATTGCAATGGATATTTATAGAAAAATTCTAATGATAAATCATTATCGGTAGTAAATTTGTTCATCCGGTTATACTTCAGCCTTTATAAACAATGTTTTTCCTAACAATAATCGCCTTTGATTTTTATGTAGGTACAGCTTTCTGTAAAAATGCATAGATCATAGTATCCCTTTGATGACATTGCAAGGGACAATAATTTAGATGTTGTTTTAATAATTATTAACAGTACGGAAGTATTACGCATACTTTCAGTTTGCTTACATTTTCGTTAAAAAAACTACCTTGCGTTAAAGTTCCCAGTGCAAGTTTGTTATAATAAATCCTTCCAAACCATCCCCCTAACCGTTTCTATTGTCTATTTATCAGTTAACCTAACCTACCTAACCTAACCTAACCTAGCCTAACCATATGGGTTCTAAAAATGTTTATGTACATGTTTTGGTTCTGGTTATAGTTAGCACTGGTTGTTTTTAATAAATGCTTAATACGTTAATTTTCACCTGTTCTATATTATGTATTATCAATGTGAATTAGTCAAGTTGTAATGATTTTAATGTGAAAAAACGTATTTTAATTACAAACAGGTTATTTTATTATTTTTTTAATAGAAGTTTACGATTTTATGGTTTAAGATTTTTGTAGAAAACCGGGTAACAATCTTGGATGGTTTTTTTTTTTTTTTTGGTTTAAAGTTCCAACCCCTGCGTGTATTAGATAATAATCAATATTAATTTGTCTTATGGGTTTTTCGCTAAATATTTCCCATTTAGTATAAACATTTTTATCATACGTATAATATTATGATATTTTAACTGTTTTGAATTTATTTTTTTGGCACCTATAAAATGGATGGAAAAATGTAAAAATCTGACCAATACAACAATTAAATAAATAACTATAATGTTATGACGTAGTGTTGCAATACGTCAACAAAAATCCTAAGTCAATGATTTTGTTTTGAAATACAACCGACAATCAATTGTTGCACAACTTTTTGCATTTTTTTACTGAACATAATAATAATGATATAATTATTGTTGTTATACCCGTTTGCTTTGAGATCTCCAGTGTACCTACAGTCGGTCACGGTCTTAATATGCCACTGTGTGTCACTGCGACCAAATCCTAGAATACACTGTGTAATGAATATAATAACATAATATTCGTATAACGCGTTACTGAATGTTTGAAATAGAATACTTAGGGGTAATATGTGTGGCACCAAATTTGAAAATCGTGACCTCCCGAACTGGGTCCTAGATATAATTGTATATTTATAATCGCCACGCCGTCCTTGCCACGAATATAATCACACAAGAAATGTAAAAGCAAATCATAGACTCAAATATAATTGACTCCTTGGACGGCTCACTGACATACACATTGAAGTGTTCACATCAGTTGAGCCAAGTAATTATGGAAATTAATAATAAATAAACAGTACTATAAAAATCGTACCTGTTTTTGTACACCCGCAAATATATCCAAATGGAAGTGAAGAACAAGAAAATAAGACATCTCGTTGAAAATTAGAGCAGGGCCGGATATAATACAATGTCTTCTCATATCTAATTGTACTTAGTACATACTTTCAAAAACGTTATTATTATTATACATCTTAACTTTTGTCTGTTAACAATATTACCCAGTGTGTATGTATTGAAACTTGACATGGTTCATGAAAATAACCATTGACAACGCTACTTCTTGCGGCTCGTTATTCAAATTAAATTCAATAAACGGTTAAATCTTATTTGTTAGTCAATTTTTTACTTAAAAAATGTTGAAACGGTAAAAACACAAATGAGTTTGTTTCTAGTTTTTAAATTGTCACTCAAACTTGCATAATGTACATAACATATTATGTATGTTGGTATCCTTTACTCCCATTGTATTTACTTGTTTTATTTTCTGTGATTAGTTATTATATCAAGACTTGGAAGTTGGAATAATAACAAGATCCATCCTTATAGTAATATAATATATAGGTCAAAAAGGGTATAAATAATAATATATGGTATAAAAGTATTAATCGTTGTAAGGTTTTCACTTTCGACGAACGATTTCTGTCTTTCAAAAGGACTATAGAATTTTCAAAAAATACTCGAGCCACTTCTTGTGGAAGTTCCGACCATAGTATCGTCAATTATTTAATTTGGGTTAACCAATGTTTTTTTTTCAATATCAGAATCCAAAACAGTAGGCGTAATGTCCCAGTTATAATTTATGGATGTGATGCAAACGATAACAACACAATTACATAGTCATTTTCACTTTCATGCTAGATTCTTCCGGTTTATGTGAAAATTAAGTCGCGCCTGCTTTGGCACATACTTACAATATCTTCGCCGTTAGGTCCTGATTATGGATTCACCAAGGCGCTCTGTCCTTGTGACATAATACTTATTTTCGTCGCGCTTCTTCCAACAATTGGATTCATTTTTCATTCACGGCCCGTCCCCGCAAAACTTTCCAGTTCGAAAAACCTAAACAAGTGAAAGCAATCGATGGGATATAAAACTGAAATTACTTTGGTCATGACAATCATTCGTTTAGTTCGTTTACAGGTCCAAACAACAACAACAATAGAACACGGTGTCATGGAGTCCTTTGCCGTAAGTAAAGATATTATTTTAATTTTTTTCTAATCATTTTAAAATATCAATTTCCGAAAACAAACCCTTATAGTGCTTTCAATATAACGTACAACACTCAACGGTACATAATATAATAAAAATAGTAATATATTAATATACGGGTTTTTTTCAAACAGCCTACAAAGTTGTTGAAAACTTACAAAACAAAATTCGAAATTTTACAATTTACTTTTAAGTTAAAAAAAAAAAAACTACAAACTCGACATTAGTTTTGAGATCACTTCTAAATTTAACAACCAAACACTCTTTTTAAAATAGATCGTAGAAAATCATTGAAATCTAAAAATACTATAAGTTGTTTTTTTTTATAACTTTAGGGGCAATTTAAAAAACTAGACATGCAGTTCTGATTTAGTGAAAACAACTAAATGTATATTGGTTTTTGTTCCATTATTATGTTTTACTATGTTGTATCTCCTCGGTCCACCACTTAAATAGTTAAATTTTTCTAAGTACAGTAATTAAGATTGCACTAGTTAAAAAACATGTTTTCGTTTACCTACATTTCGCAGTTATGCTTAGCGCGCTTAGGCTATATTTTATTTATCGATAAGCCAATGTTGTCTACATTTATTGTAGTAAGCGACACTTACGTCCTTTTACTGTTGATTTCAGCTTTTACATTTTTTTGGCTCTTAAATCCAGTGTGAAATTATATTGATACTATAATAGCAGAGTTGGATAAAATTTAACTAATTAAAGAAAATACAGCTAAAAAGGCTAAGCGAATAACGTACAAAATAAAAAATAAAAATAGATAATGTTTTATTCGAATAAAAATATTATTTTAATACAATTACTTAACTTAAAAATTCAAACAAACTTACAACAAATGTTTGAAAATCTATTTTCTTGTCAAAGAATAGGTAGATTATCTATGCATTTCGATTTTTGGTATTATGGTTGTGTCAGCACTCAGCATGCCATTTCGTTTACATTTAGAACAAAAGTCGTCTCTAACTCCAAAATAGTACTTACGTCCTAAAAGGACATTAGTAGCGTCGATTTTATTTGATTTACATATGTGTTTTAACTAGTGTACAGTAGTAGTAATTGTATTTAAACATAATGTTACTTTTGTTTCAGGTGTACGTTTTGCTAGCGTTGGCTATCAGCTCATCGATAAAGTGCGAAAACGCATCTTCCGAAAAACAGGCTTCCAGGAGGAGCATAGGCGAATACCACGACCACTTTGATCACCACGACCACTTTGATCACCACGGTCACCACGATCACATTGGCCAATACGCGCATTTCCACAGCCACTACCCGGCGTCCTACGCGAGCCACTACGCTCCTTACCACGCGCACAGCTACCTCGGCCATCACCATCACCATCCGGTTGTCTACCAGTCGGTCGTGCACGCCATCCCTACAGCCACCACAGTGGTCCATAAACATGTGCCAGTACCAGTACCACACCCTGTACCCGTGCCTGTGGTTCGGCCCGTGCCAGTTGAGGTGCCCCGTCCGTACCCCGTGCCCGTTAACCGGCCGTACCCCGTGCACGTCATAAAGCCAGTGCCGGTGCCCGTGGCCCAGCCGTATCCCGTCACCGTGTACAAACCGTACCCGGTACCGGTGTACCGGCCGTTGCCTGTGGCAGTGGCCAAACCTGCCGTACATGTACAATACGCCACCAGAGTGCCAGTACGCGTGCCCTTGAGGTACTACCCTCATGCCCCGAGTTACAGTTACCATGGCCAAGCTGGCATTTACGCTCACCGGCACGCCTATGCTGCGGCTCCGACTCCGGCGTACACTCCAGCTACGGCGTACGCTCCCTCTCCGGCATACGCTCCAGCGCAACCATACCCAGGTCAGTCGGCTTACTTGCAACAGCTGCTGCGTGGAGCGCAAAACGAATACGAAGTGAACGAACCCCAGTCTAACGAAGAAGACTACGCTGCTTTTCAAGGACAACAAGAAGCCAGCCTGGCACTTCACCAGCAACACGGCAACGTAGAACAAGACATCGACTCTAGGTATCCGCCGCTGACCAACGCCAATGAACTGAGTTTGGGAGTGCCAAACACCGACTACTCTAGCACTAAGAAAAAATAGTACCTACTCATAATTCATAACATATGATTGTATTATACCCATAATCATTTGAGTAGGTATAGATCTTTACTCGATTACATATTATTGTGTTATATGAATTACCAAAATTATGATTCCAAAGACTGCGGCGTGTGCACTTGTTATAATATTAATACTCGATACTATACCAACGTGTTGTGTTTGTTAAAATAAAGTTATATGTTAATTAATATGGCTCATATTTTGTATGTATAAACACTTGTTTTATACATAGATTGTTCTATTCACATTTGTCTATCCATCATAATTTCTTTATCCACCCTGACAACTCGTTATCTTTATTATATTTTATAACATCCACCTACTACTTTTTCTTCTTTACTCCTATTCCTTTGTTTTTATCTCTATTACTGCTGATTCCAATTGTTTACTCTTATAATATGGTTTTATGTATGCTAAATACTACACGCTGTTCATCTATTTTCTTTCTTTTTTCTGCTTATTTAATGTTCAACACTCTCTTCTATACGACGTATCATTGTTGGCTTAGTATTTTAACATATATATCATACATAGCACAGCTTATTATATTTGTTGAGTTCATTACATAAGTTTATTTATGTCTATGACTTTAAAATAATACATTTGTGATAATTCATGTGAAGCTATGATGTCGGTAGCAATATTTGTTTACAATCCATCGTGGTTGTCATTATATTAGGTTTTTGGCGATCTTCATTGCATTTTGGATATATTAGTATGCGTTAAACGTTCCTATTAAGTTAATATATACAATGCAAAAATGTTCGCTGTGTTTTCGATGCTGGTGTCGACCGGTATCTCTACGCATGACGTTAACTTGCCAATGTACTTTTATTTAGCAAACCATCTGACCCAACAAGAATATTTACAACTGGTCACTTATTTGTATGCAAACCTCCTCGGTCCAGCGAGTGTCAAGGAACTCTATAAGCGTGATACGATTTCAGTATATTTCTTGGTTTATTCTTTCAAAAGAAGTCACTGATGTTTGTCTCATAATGAAAAATGTTTTAGTGTTTAATTAGTAATTTTATATTTTATTTTTAGTAAGTTGTTGTAGTATATTACATGTACTAAAGAATTTTTTTTTAATTTTGCTTCCCATTTTAATGTTATTAAAACTTTTTTATTACAACAACTTATTAATAATAAAATATATATAGTATATATCTGTAACAACTGTGAATAAGTGTGCAAGTCGAATTTTGGTCAAAATTGACTAAGTACGCTAGGATGTAGTCCGAGGCGTCTAGCACACCTTGAATAAATGTCTAACTCGTTGGACCAACAAGAAAACCTTGAGAGAGATTTGAGTTATTGGCTAAGTTGGGATTTATGGCAGCTGGTCAAAGTTTAAAATCGCTCTCCTGTAAAATATTCTGATATCGACTTACACACTTATTCACAGTTGTTACAGATATATACTATTATGAATAATTGCTTGGGGGGTTCGTTCTAAATCTTATATATAAAGCGACCAATAGTTGTAAAATGTATTCATATAGGTCATGTACGTATATTAATAGACATATCATTGATTTTCGAAACAGTTCAAACGGGTTTGAAGAAATGTAACGAATTTACTATTTTAAGTGAGGAAAAGCAATCTACCTAATTCTCGACTCTGGAAAATCTTGCGAAGAGATAAAGAATGTTTAAATTAACAATACTGCTCTATTTTCAGTGTTGTAATTCTAAGTTTCAGAACTCCACTTCCTAGGTACTTTTTTAAACTTTACTGCGGCGCGGATAGTGATCTTTTTTTCACAATCCGATTGATGATGGATCGATTCGTTCGCGAACAAACCACGAGATGGCGTGCATAGCATATTCCCACTTAAAAATTGATCATGCTCATTTTTGCCAGCAACTCTTCGTATAATCTTTTGTTTTAAATCGGTTATTTTGAACAAAAAACAAGAACGACGGCAATCGAATTTTCTTTCATAAGAACTCATCTTTTCGCTTTCGATTAAGTCTGTATGTCATATTATATTGTGCATAAATAATGACGTTCAGACGCGATGGCGCAATTTATATACCGCGGTAGTAGTATGTGTACTGGTTTGTGGTAATTACCACGCTTCTAACGGGCATGCCGGATGATATGGATTGATATGAATAATAATATTATTATCATTTTCCGTTTATGTTTTTGCTATATTAAAGTATGCAATGTTGTAAAATGTAAAATAAAAATTGGTGTACAGTTGATTATAATAAAATAACAATTAAAATAATAGTAATAAAATATTTATTATGAAAGTTACGAAGAACTCTATATTGATTTCCTAAACATTTGTTTTTATACATCATAGAATTCTTTACTCGTTTACGAATTTCTGTAATTTAGACAACAAAATCCACACCACAATGACGGTTCCTCAACTTGATCAATTCGTGTTGACTGTCAGAAACCTGTCTAATATGTGTAAGTCATGTAATTTATAGTTTATTTTAAAACTATATAATAAAACTTACAATCATCATCTGTTTGACTCGAGGACACCTTTTTATTACTATTAATAGCATTAATTAGAATGGTTTAGATCTATGATGATGAGGATATTTCGACTAGTATTCTGTTGGAAGTAATACATTTGTGTAAAAGTTGTATACAAGTATCAACAAATGTTTAGTTGATACTTATGTTAACAATGAATTGTCGTTTATCTTGTATTATTTGTAATTTAACTTATTAAACATCCATTTTTTTTTTAAACGCAATTCTTACTTTTTAGATGAACAATATATTGTTTTGCTTTCAGTTAGAGTTGGCTATATTTCAAAATGAATTGCATTTTTAATTAAAATATTTGAACACTTCCGAAATCTACGTGTTAATTTATTTTGTTTTATAGCTGGTGATAATCGAGAGTTAAATGATTATCTCTCTAAACAAACCGACATTCTTCAAAGATATGTGGCCCATTTGGATACTGTTCTAGAAGCTCTGGATGTACATGAAAATTCACTGACGGTTCTTACTATTTTGGGAGTAAAGACGACTGGTCAAATACCCGGAGATATACCAGCTGTCCAGTATCACACTGCGGTAGCAGCCCAAATAAATGATTTTATTACTGCCGTCAGTGAAGAAGAACTTCGAGCTTTGGCTGAGCAATGTAAATCACTATTTATTTTTTGGTCATACACTGCTTTAACGAATTACGTTTCATTTTTATCACAGTGGCCAATGTAATGAAAACCATGTTGAAAAATCTTGGTGAAATAAATAAACCAATGTCTGCTATTCCAATTGTGAAGAACGCTATCAGCAAACTACAAGTTCATTCATATCAACTGACCGAAGTGCATAATCTTTTGTGTCAGGCGTGTTTAATGTCAAACAATCTGAAGCCAGCGCTCAGTGTTTTAGACCAGGATATATACGTGCTTGGCACTGAAGAGGTTAATAATACATGATTACATTATAATTGCTAACTTATTTGTGTTTAACTATTCAATAACAATATATTTTAGCCGGGAGTCATATTTGATATAAAATACTATATAAGTTACTTCTATCTTGGTGGTGTCATCTATACGGCAATGAAGAACTATACGAAGGCGATCACTTTTTACGAAATTGTTCTTACCACTTTATTACCTTCCATGTCGCAGATTATGATTGAATCGTATAAAAAATATGTATTAGTCTCAATCGTACATTTGGGAACAGTACCCGCTATCCCAAAATTATCTCAACCACTCATAGAAAGAGTATTGAAACCTGTTTGTCAAGCTTATCTGGACATAATACCTGCTTACCAAAGTGGAGAAGCAGAAAATCTTCAACGAGTCATAACCAAATACGAAGATGTCTTTCTGAGGTATAATAGTAAATTATAATTAACAGTTTGACTCTTTGCCCAAAACTACAATATAAAATATGTGGCTGTGTATAGGTGCTCAAAATTATTCAATTTAAGTTTGCAAAACTGTTGCAAAGAAACATCATGATGTTCACCAAAAGGTTTATATTCATTAAAAAAAAAATAAGTACATTGGGGACGGGAAGGTCATAATTCTTCACGAATTTTGTAATTTATAAATGACAAAACCACTTTCATATAAATGCCTTATTGCAAAATTGTAGATCGTAAAATGTATTAAATCATATTTTGATTGATAACATTAATATATAATTGTGTAATTTGTTTTTTATGGTTTCTTTAATTAGGAAGTGACATCCGCATTTGAATTTCCTTTTAAAAAACATTGTAATGAAACATATTTTACAGACATTTTTTAAATTGGTTATAGTCTACTAAACATTTAGACAGTTTGTTTAGAAATTAATAATATTGTTAAAAAAACTGAAAAATATGTTTAAAAAATAATAACATAAACCTATAAATTACTATTATTTCAGAAAATAAAATAAAGTGTTCTATGTTAAATATAATATAAATCATTCTATTTATAAATAATAATATTTTAAGATTTTGCCCAGCAAAAACAAAATGTATATAATAAATTTAATTCATTAGCTCGTTTAATTTTTTCGAGGCGGGTGTCAGTATGAATCTTTGCCACTGGCAGTATATTTCTTTAAGCCGGCAACCGTCTCGAAAAAAATAGCCAATCACCACTCTCTTTGGTGAAAAACTTCTTTGGTAAGTGTTGATTGGTAGCTAGCTATAAACCCAAACACACCAAAGCCTCCACTAAAACCTTTTTGAGTCCTCAATCTCAAGGAATTACGCATACCACAAATGTTAATTTTAGCGTTATCCTGTGACATAATTTTATGACATTTATTTTATTTTTTATCAGAGACAAGAATAAAGGACTAGTTGGGCAAGTTGTTAAGGCGTTGCACAGAAAGAATATACTTAAACTGTCCAAGACTTTTTTAAACATGTCTATTGCTGATTTGGCTCAAAAACTTAATCTTCTTAGTGTAGAAGAGGCCGAAGAACATCTTTTGAATATGGTATCTAAATATTTTATAATTGTTACTATTATGATATTTTATAAACAACTTATTATTACACTGTATAATTTGTAGGTTGAATCTGGTGAGGTATTCGCGAAAATAAATCATCAAGAAGGAATAGTTACGTTTAGCGACATGCCTAAAAAATATGAAGATCCCATTGTGCTGAAACAGATATTAGATGAAGTAAGTACAGCTGAATGTTTCCTCAAAGTATTTTATTTAATATTAATTTTAATTTGTTAGATTACGGGCAAAATAGAATTTAGCAAAATGATACAAATAATGGATGAAGCGATAACGACTAACCCAATGTTTGTAAAGAAAACAAGCACCGAAGAAGACGGACTATCCATTGGCGGACAAGGTTCATCGAAAAGTTATCAGTCGTAACAATTATTGGAATTTAATTAAGCAACAATAATTATACCTAGATTACATTATTTTTTATGTAAAACGGATTGTATATTCCAATACACGCTAAAATTGTGTATTGAAAAACCTACATGTATAAAAAAATTCAACAATCAAAAACTGATTGGCTAAAATATTGCTAAAAACAAAATGGAATTGCTTATGCTTAATGTTTAACCATAAAATTAGAAATTGTAATTTTATTGCATACACTATTTTTTTACTCATTTGAATTTTCTTTAGAAGTGATAATGATATAAGAATAAATTATTTCTGTGAAAAGTTCCAATATTATAGTTAAAATAATATTAATAACATAAATATTACTATATTAATATTATTTGTGTAAAATAATTACTGAATACAAATTAAAAACATTACTTTGATAATAATTTTAGGGCTTTATTTCGCATAGGTAATATACCTAACATGAAAATTATACTCGGTATGGTTAACTGTACAAATGTTTGTAGGTGCAACTAAATTTTTTTTTCATAACAGTTTCCTAGTACTTATTTATAACTTAATTTGCAAAAAAAAAAATTTACTTGCCAAATCTTACCATTTACGCTTAAAGTTTCTTGTAATAATAATTTTAAAAAAAACATTGTTACAATGAATCACATTTTTTAATTTAATAAAAGATGCATTATCCTTATTTAAAAAAAATCAGTGCCCTAATTTTTTTTTGGAATTCAGAAATTAGGCACTATAGAATTTTTCCATCATTTAATTTGCCCAAATAAATTAGAACATACTTATCAAGTGCAAGTTTCTTTCGTTAATAATAAAAATGGTCCATGAAAAAATTGATACCTATACCTAATTTGAAAGCTATTGTAATTTTGAAATAGAGCAGAGAGCTGATGATGACTATTTTGGATAAGGTCCTATTATAAAACAAGTAGACAATAGTGTGAACTTCATGCTATGAACATTAAACTATGATGATAATGAAGTTCATTTGAAAACGATATTAAATCACTGCATCACAATTCACAATGTTAAAATAAGTAATATAATGCGTATAATAATGATTATTATTGAACAATTAATTATTATTTAGTATATCCAGTATAATTATTATTTCATATTGTTAAACTATGTTAAGGTTGTTTAATTGTTCTCAAACTTCAAAGTGTACTACGGTATTAGCATATTGGATCATTCGACTTGAGCGACTCTGCAGAATTCAGTAAAATACATAATTTTTCTACATGATTCGAGTTTGGTTTTTCCACATAAATGACAATCTTCCAGCACCCGTATGGCAAGATGGGATGATATTTCGACACCAAACGCCCACTGTGAATCAAATACCGACCCTGAAATTTAAAAAACACTATACAGTCATACATAATGTAATACACATATTATAATGTTAATCATAAAGAAAGTCTACAAATTGTATTCTGTTTTTTTTACAACCAACAATAAATATGAATCTTTAAAAATATATTTAAAAAAAATGTTTACCAAGTTGGTGAATTTTGGCACTCAAGCATCTAGTGAATTATTTTTCTGCATATTATTTTAATACTTTTGATTATACTAAAATTATTAGTATTGTTTATTTATGTATAATTATAATTAATTTCTATTACTTTTTTTATCGGACAGTGGTTCTCGAGATTTACCACTTTTCGGATCATGGGGAAAAGCAAAATGTCGGTGATCAAAATAAAACACAAATTGGTCTTGGACATACATATTTGATTATTTTTCGCCCATTTTCCGCCGGTTTTCTGATACGCCTCACCGGCTATCTAAAATAATAATCATTCACACAGAAATAACACACTTACACACTTTAATCTTATCATTAATACTATAGGTATGGAATTCTAACTTCAAAATTGTCTTCTGCGCTTATATGCCTTAAAACTTCAAAGTATCCATTGCTGTGTGCTGTGGAATGTGAATAATTGTATTTACCGTCAAAATACATGCGAACAGAAGTATTGTCGCAAACAAAAACGTCTTCAACGCTTAACAAGTGCTGAAATTGGGGGAAAAAACCTATTAATACATACAATACTATTGTATACCTTCTTAATTTCCAATAAATATTTTTATTTTTTATTTATCAACTATAAGTTATAGTTGGTCTATAAGATTATTTCTTCTTTTTCCTCACCACTACTTTAAACTGATAACCTCTTTCACAAACCATCAGTATATATTACTTTACTACATTTTAAATTTGTTTTTAGTTATAACGACTTTTTCATAGAATACATTTATGTTACAGCTTTTATAAAATATCGCCATGTACACTTCAATTTTCTATTAACACGTAAACTATTACTAAATCATAGAAAACCGTGCTCCAAAAAAAAAAGTTGACTCAATAAAAAAATAACATTTAATCTATAAACATTAAAATAAACACTTATCGATGGTCGTTGAAACTATTAAAAAAAATCTACAAACGATTTAAAAATGAGATATATGCCTAACCTGATGAATTACAATTAAATTAACGAAATATGGCAGTAGCTTACTGGTTGTGAATAAAATAAGCACCAAGAGAATACTGTAAACCCGTAAAGTATACTTTTCATATTTGTTGACACTGGTGCACTTGGTTCGAAATAAATTATAGACCTCCAGGACTGTAGCTGTCCGATCTGCAATAGATTGTACAGAACTAGGTATAACGTACAACGTATTGGCTACGTACACTGTCATAACGATAATCATGTCAATTATATGTTTTCATTGTATTGCAGGATGTTTTTGAAAAAATGTTAATGATCGGAACCTATTGGAAGCCTACAGCCGCTTGTTGGAAAAACCAGATCAGATAAGTATGAGATTTATTAATATGATAATATTAATGAAACGTACTTCGCAATATATTTATTATTATTAACATATTTTTTTGTGTTATATTTTTACACGATATAAGGTAGTCAAAAGTAGATAAACTAAATAATGATTCATACAAATAATCTCTGGAACTTTGATTCCTGAAAAATGATCTTCAAAGCATAAAATATATTCATATAGAAAAATTATCTTTTATAATGTTCTAATATAAAAGACACAATTCTTTCGATCACTGTTATCCACCAGTCGCGGTAAACTATAATTCAAATGAAATTTCTGAAGAAATCACTGAATCTTATTGAGAAAAAAACTGTTCTAGTTGACGTAAAATAATGATTATTGTTTAATACTAGCTGCAATTTACAACATTTTTCACTATGGTATGTATCTATATAAGTGGCGCCGATCCCATTTTTGATACTTACAACTAAAATATGACATAGTTTTTTTGATAGACGATCAAAACACAGGAAAACCCCCCAGCCCCCACGTAATGGGGAAATTTGTTTTTGAATTGGCGCCTTAAACTAATTTTCCCCCCTTTCCACCAGAGGTAGCCAGTACGGATCTGTCCAGAAATGACTGATTATCCGGAGTATGCGGATTTTTTTGTTTTTAATCCAAGTTAAATACACTTGCGTCTAACTTAAATCAGTCACCTATTTTAGAAACTGTTATGATTTTCTAATGCACGTACTTATAAATGATATGTCTATAGCTCACTCAGCGTATGATAATTATTTGCTTGAATGAAGTTGCTGTTTTTTTTTATACTTTTTATACCCTTTTAACTCTAGACGTTCCTCCTCAAACTGCTAAAACAACAAGTGGGGAACGACTCAAAGTTCGTTCAGAAGTTCTGAACAACCAGGTTGTGATATTCAGGAGCGGCCAATCCGGTGATCGACGTGTAACCCCACTCTACTCTGATTGACTTCCCTTAGCTGAACACTGATTAATTTACTGTTTAACTACTTAAATTATCCAATTGCTGACGAGAACATCCAACACAAGTTTCTAGTGAATATTTTAATTCAATGGAATTGGATCCCTAGAGTTGCTTTACGCTTCTCAAGAGAATTAAATGAACCAGGCCAGTCTCTCGGATTATGTTAAGATAGTTAAATTAATAGATGAATTGTTAAATAGAATAATAAATGAATACAATGTTTTGTTGCCCCTAAGACTTTGAAAAAACGCTGAATCAGGCCATAAACGATTAAGTGGAAATCATCTGACCACACTCTCCATGCCTTATCAATTAAATAATTGGTAAGTTGCAGACGAGCGTGGCCAGACAACGTGGGCCACTGGAATCACGATGACTACTGCCTACTGGCTAAAAACTGGATCTACGCTGGCTATACGGCAACCTGTTGCTTGTCTTATATAGGGATGGATGTGCGTCATCAGCGGGGGGAAGATATAAAAATGTCCCGTCGTATAAAATTATCCATGCGTAAATCAGTAGACCCGTAGTCCATGCTGAATCAGCGTATCTTATGTGTCATTTTTATTTAAGATATCCGTTTATACTTTTAATATAAATATTATACTAAAAATAATGTATAAATAATTGATAATTGTATGCGATATTAGTATTAGTGCATACAATATAATCATTACAGTATTATTCTGATTTCTGAATAATCTGTCTAATTCGAATTTCATAAATCCCTATTTAATCCCTACCGTCGTCCTTTTTAGGTTTTTCGGCATTCATCAAGAAGTTTTACGATGACATGGCGGGCGTCTGGCAAGTCTTTAACAAAGCCAAATTGAAGTTAAATTATACTTGTTGTCTAAACTCTTCTTATTCCGGAAGTTATGCTGAGTATATATTTCCATCATATTATTCAATTGTAAGTCTAAAAAAACCGTTATTAAAAAAAATTATTTTGTGGTTTGTGATGTATTTATTCTCAAAATAGTTATCCTCGGAAAGTCTGAAATCGTTTTTCGCTCTCAAAATAGATATTATTAAAAGCTATTTATTTCACAGCAATAATAGCTAAAGATTCTAGTGTCTATGAACACAAATGAAACAAACTTAAGTATTAACTAGTCGCATGAGTAATAGCGATCAATATTAAGAGCGGTATAATTAATAGAGTCTTCCCGCTCACAACAGGGAGCGTCGCGCCGTACCATACAATATCACGCGGGTCTCAAGTGATGTAATGATGAAACTGGTTTTTATATACGGCCACTTTCAAAAAGCCATCGCAGTTGGGCTGGAACGTGTACGTGATGACCTCGGCCATCTGTCTGCAGTGGATTTCGTACGGACAATTGCACCTCTTGGCCAGGCCGATTTTTTCGGTGCAGTCTTCCGAACCCATGTAGTTGCACGCGGTCTCCAGCAGCCGCACTTTGATGTCGTCGCTCAGAACCATTTTCTTGAGATAGGTACGGCAAACGTCTTCGCACAGCTTCCTGCCCCTGGCCGTGAACCTGACGGTTTTCACCTCTTCCGCGTACAGGGTCATCTCGCTCTCGCACAGTTGCGCCGTGCTCTGGGGCCGAAAGCAATGACCTGTAAACCGTCAAACCTTGTCAAGCGATTGAATAGTTTTAATAATCATCAGCTCACGTTGCCGCCCACCTAGTATGTCAATCGGATCCCGGAAAAGCCCTTCGCCGTTGCCCGGTGTGTCCACCGTGTTTTCGTCCCCGAGGAAATTGCTAGTTATTACTGTCAAAGAAACCCCGTTTTTAAGTAGAACAAATCAGTTATTAGTAATTGATACAAGAACTTACTGGGTCGACCGAAACAAACGGGATTCCGTACGATTGTAATATAACTAAATAATAATATGACGGCAATCATATCGGACGTGAAACAAAAAATAATAATCATAACCGACCACTATATTATGTTGTAGTAAACATGGTTGTTTTTTTTTTCTTAGAAATGTATGATTTTAGTTATTTAAGCCATTATATATATTTTTTCTAGTATCGATACGAGTTTATTGTCTAAGGCGATATGATTTTACAAGATTTTATTATTTAAGTAAGTATAGGTATTCTAAAATGCTCAGAGTACGAGATTGTCTAGGTTTACGCTGTACTCCTATGGGTTACGAGTTTAGTTTTTGAAAATTGGATATCACAATATTTTCCCGTCATCGGCCAGTTAATTACCTTCGTTCTATTGTCAAGTTCACATTATGTATCTACTTATTCTATTTTGTTCTTGAGCTCGTTCCGTATCACTAATAAATGATATAAAGAAGCGTGCAAGAATTAAGAAAGAGGAAAAAACGATAAATCCATATTTGATGTTTTCAATCTAATCCGGGTATTTTGGGAGGGAGTAAACTGGTAAAAATCGATACCCTGATACTTTGACCAGTGATAAAATAAATATATTGGCAAGTTTGTCGAAATAACTTAACATTAGTTTCTCGTGGACGAAGTCTAAATACCCGACTGGTTTTAGGTTTGCATGAAATAAGTTTTAAACAGTTGTAAATTGTAAAATGTATAATATCGGTAAAGTTGTTTGAATTTTACCAATCGTCGAAATCGTGTTTTTTTTTTCAAATTTGTACTGTAGTTTTTTTTTTAACTGAGCAATATTAAGTAGCAAATGTGCTCTTACATAATGATTAATGAACAGTTATTTTGCATAAACTCCTACAGTAATATTACATAAAACGTAGGATGTTAAAATGGTTTTTTAAATAGCTACCATTACAATTACATGTGACCTCTGTTTGAGTCAAACATATATTATTACTAATAATATATGTGCCTGGCAACCTGTAAACCTATATACCTATAAATGAATTCGCTTTATTATATGTATATCCGTTGTGATTTTTGAGGTCGTAAACACACTTTTGAAATACGATTAAAAAAATGGACGCATGAAATTAAAATAGAAATAGCTTAATTGTAAAATTCAAAACAAATGTAACAATACAAAGTTGTCAGTAAAATATATAATTTTCGAATAATTATTTCTATAAAAGTTCTTATATTATATTATAATAATGTATAGTAAATAATAATAAATGTACGTATTTATATATTATAATATTTATAAATAATCAACAATATCTGAAAATAATGACTTAGTTTAAGAGAACCGTTTTTCCGTGATGGACTGGTTGTGATTCCTGTAAAAATTGTTGTTTTCCGTTACGGATTGGTTGTGATTCCTGAAAAAATTGTTGTTTTCTGGTGTCTGATTTGGGTTTTGCCAACTTGATCTACTGTAAACTGTTATACGTGTATTTCTGCAATATTGATCGTATGTTGTTCCCTCGGGTTGTCCGGGTATACCACACAACCATAACTCTGCTAGGTTAGATGTAAATATTGATCTCATTATTTCTACAATTTTAGCAGTCTTTACGGCATCTTCATGTTGAAACGCAAAATATCTGAAATTTATTTTCTCGTATTCCTTTTTAAGCTGTCTGAATATTTTTTCGATATCTTCATAAGTTCTATTATTATTATTCTTTTCTATTATACATATTATAACTTCATTTCTAACCGTGTACTTGTACATACATTCTCTCTTGGGTATATCATTGATTAAACTACAGAATAATAATAAAAAAAAAAAAATTAATTGACAATGTTACACAAAACAAATAATACTTATAAAAGCGTTAACTGACAAGGACTAACTTCTTTTATATCAATAAAACGTTTTTATTTATTTAAACAACAATTCGATTTTTAAATATCAAATAATAATTTAAAACCCAATTTTTATTGTTTATAAAATAATATTTAAAAAAAATACTAATTATTAATAGTAATATTAATATTTACGCAAACTTTCTTAAGATAGAAAGTTATTAATATGAAATTTTTTGGGACAATACAAACAATTGTAATAGTTTTTACTATGATGGTGTCTAAAACTTGTACTTAGGGAGGGAGTAGTGAAGTGTGTTGCTTTTTGTGGAAAAACTGCAGAACATGTTTTTTTGAGGTGAAGTTGTGAAAGCAGAAATTTTTTGTTTATAGCAAAAGCTAGTTATGTTTTGTTTTTTGTAATAAAAATGAAACATTTGTGGCTTCAATATAATACAAAATAATAGCAAAGAAAATTAAGTACTTACTATTGTTTGAATGGATATTTTGCATTAATTTGATCAATTATATTATTTTTACTACAGTTGATGTCAGATATTTGTTTAATATTTATAAATAGAATAATATCTGTTTGTGGTTCCATTTCCCATAAATTTTTTTGTGTGATTTTGATAGCTAATGGCAACGTTTTCTTGATACCTGTCATCATCTAACAAAATGATAATTTCAGTTCAAAACATATAGCTAACATTATTGACTAAACACTCACCTTGGACGCGGACGGTATACAAACAGTAATATGAATACCAGACCCATTAAACACATCCTTAATGCACGACTCCACTTCCGACCAATCAAGTCCGTCCAAACCACAACCAATTGTTGGTATTCCCAATTTTTTTAACTTAAATTCTTTCATTTTTTGACGTAACACAACTAATGATTTTTTCAAGCTTCCCATTGTTGGTTTGCCGTTACTTAATTTTTTTGTTATTAAATAGAACACATATTGCTCTTTGCGGTGCAGTACACCGACATCGCCCACTTTTAAATTTTGGTCATACAAATTACCAGTGCCGCCAAAAATACGTCTATACACCCAAATTTAAAATTAATTAAAAAAAAAAAAAACAATAAGTCAAAGGTATCGTACTTGAATTCTACGGCAATTCCTGCTCCCATACGCAAGTCTTCAGCAACACAATGGGCAAGCGCAAAATCTTTATCTAATTTAAATAAATCTTCATCCAATGTTTCAAAATCCAAACTAAAACAGATTAATAATTATAAATATGCAAGAGAAAAATACAATAGTTTTGTTCACAAGATATTGAAAAAAAGTACCTTTCTTTGGAATAACTATCATCTGATAATTTTTCGATCCCTGAGAAATTTGAAGTTTTTTTATACTTTTTCCTATTTTTTTTGGAAGTAACATTTTCATTACGTCAAATCAAACAAATTATAACGCATTATTAAATAGATCAATTTTTTATATTAAAAAATACTTACTTGATATTCATTTTAAAACTTGGGTTGTTACCAGTGGTGTGATGACTATCGCTGTCTGATTCCACTTTATAGTTTTTTGAAAATCGACTACCATTCCTAATATTTTTACTTCTTGGGTCCTCGACTATGCTTTTTCTGTCTTCAATTTTTCGATTGATTCTAATAACATATGTACATAATTCCAATTATTTTTTAATTATGTTATTTTAACAAGCTAATACATAACACCTAGAAATGAAAATTAATTATATATTTTTAATTTTAGGCAATAAGATCATTTGAATTAGAACTTTATTAATTTAGATACATAAGTGTCATAACAAAATTTTCTAAAAGTGTACTAGTTTAAATACTTTTTCAGTGTGTAAAAAAAGTTTAAAGTTTAATAAATTTCCTTAATTAATTAGTTAAATAATTATTAGATTATACTTGAATGCAAAAGTTAACAAATTAATAAATAATAAAACTTTCGACTAAATTACAGTTTTAACAAACTTAACTAGTATACGAGTGCAAATTTAATATAAATGCAATCTCTTTCTAATCGATTTAAAATTGACCAGTTATTTAAAGCGTTGTAAAAAAATGATTAATTAACATATTAATGTTATTCTTAATTCGCCCCAAATTACCTATTTTTAGAAGAACTTTCCTCTGATAATTCATTTCTACTTTGATTTTGTTCATCAACTTCTGACAATTCTGTATTTTTTTTTGTGGAAATTTGTTTGCTGTAACAAAACAAAATATGATAATATTAATGAAGCGTAAAAGGCCAACCCTCACATTAGTTCAACAAAGTATTCAATTTCATATTACATTCTTGTGTTTTAAGTCACTTTTAACCAATTGTCATAACCTGCAATACACTTTTACTAAGTAAGTTAATTTGATTAATTTGAAATTGAATGTGTCATTTGAAAAATTATATTATTGTGGGTTACAGCAATTAGTCTTTTAACCATGTTCTTTAACATAGAATTTTTAAAATACAAAGACTTACTAATCATTGTCAGTTTCCATTTTATTGTCCTCAACTTTATCAGTTTTTGGTATAACTAGGCTATTTTCTTCACAGGTTTTTTCAATTCTAATAAATTATACAACATTATAATTACATTGCTTAGAAAAATTATAGGAATAATGATATTTCCTTTAAAACATTGACCGCTGCACAGCCACCGATGGCCTCACAAATGTGATTATCCATCACTGAATTTTAGGCGGTAAAACATTTTTTTTAGTAGGCCCTACAGCCATTGTCGACTGTATATCCCATTTTAATGTAATCTGAAATAATTCTGATGGCGCAGTTATAATGTTTTATACATTTGTATCATGGCGAAGAGGAGAAAAAAGCGATTTGTACTCGGTATTATTAATTACCTTATTTACTACCCTTTCTAAATTAAAATTCCATTCTTTAAATTAGTTTTGGAATCTATTATTTTGTTCTTCATCTAATCAATGTTACTATTATTATTAAAAAATATGACCATATTACATAATGGTAATTTTACTATTTAAATTTTAGTAAACATTTTTTTAACTATCGCAATAAAATATTATATTATTATAATAATCAAATCTCAATAAACAAGTAAGAACGCCGAGCTGTATAATGTATCACTCTTGTGTCATGTGAATACTAGTATAATACTGATGCAGTGAGGTTGCTGCTGGCCTCACGATTATTATTTCATGTTTTTAATATCCACATAATCCAAAATATTTGGTCTGTCGAACGTTATATTTAGACCTATTTGTTCACTTGGTAAGTTTTGCAAAAGTCAAACATATTTTTTTAACCACAGTATAGTAATCAACAACTGTGCTACTGCCGGCAGCTAAACAGCGGTCAACGTGTTACACAAATTTACTTTTCTTCAAAACCAAAAGAGGGAAACCTGTTTTCGGATAATTTATCGATTTGTTCTTCAACCTCCGAATGTTCTGACTTTTTTTTATTCTGTTTTTTTGATTTTTTCGAGGTAAATTGTTCATCAGAAGTTATTTTAATTCTAAAAAAAATAATATATACTATTAAATAAAAATGTTGTTTTATTATGGTAATATTATATGTGATAAGTGAATGTATAATGATGACTCTTTTAATCAAGCAAAGTTAAGTATACTTTATCAGGTATAAACCGCAAATATATAACAAAATATTAAATATGTTCAACTTTTAAGTAAGCAAATATTACAGGCAGTAAAAATAAAGAATGAAAACTTTAAATTAGGGTTTTTAATGTAAATTTTATCAATAATATAGTCCCTTGTAATTATTTATTTTATAATAGGTGTAAAATATATTTTGCTATTATTTAACATACCCTTCTAATGATTCTTTCAATTCACCATCGATATCATTTTTCTGGTTATATTTTGTTTTCTCACTACATAAATTTAAACAATTCATTAGTGATACTCTATAGTTTAAAACAAATTTCAAGTTTAAACATAGTGAAAATACTTATTTTTATCTTTCAAAATTTATTAAAAGTTTTAATATCTAAATTTAAACAAATTAGCTTTATGATCAATCATTTAACATGATTTTTGGTGGTACAAAATAAGAGTATTTGTTTAGTGCACAACCAAATTTAGACTAAGAGCGAAAAACATATAAATATAGAAATGCTAATTAATATATCAGAAATAAAAGTGTAAATTAGCATAATATTGCATTGCATTGGAATTGTGACAAATTAAGTGAGTATTTTAACCACTAACTTTTTTTTACTATTTATACACACAATCATCTAAAAATAATTTTAATAAATATTATTTTCATTCAAAGTTAAAATGTATATATCTTAAGTAATGGTTAGTTATCCGTTTTAACAAAACCCATCTCCACAATAATGCTTACTCATAGATATGTAAACCTATCAATTATATTATGTCTGTACCCCTTCTAGTTTTAATATCTTTATAATTTGTTTAGTCTTAAAAAAAATATATATATTGAATTACATTATGATAATCGCCCTATGAAACAAATATTAAATATATTAATTCTATATAAATTGTCGTTGATTTTGTTTTACGCTATTTATTAACAGTATACCTAGTAAGTATCTTCAAGTCATATAAATATTTTAATTTGAATAAGTAAGCAAATATAATTTCAGTATTTTAATATTATATTTTTACTTAAGTGATTTTTTATCATAAAAAGCTCCATCATATCTTCGGAGTTTGTTCAAATACATATAATTAGCAAACAGTTTCAATAAGTTATTAAACATTCAATTATTAAATGACAGTTCTAATAAAAAGAATATATGTATATAAAACCCAATTGTTCAGGACACTAAAACGATTTATAGGTTTTATTTTTTATTTTTCATTTCTTCTACAATGGAGATAGCACGTTGGAGATTTTGTCATATAATAGATTATTTTTTTCTGTACCAAATCCTCAAAATAGTAAAACTGGCACATTTTTTTGCGAAAACAACGATATATGCTCATTTGATTATGAAATAAACTTCAAACCTACTATTATTACATTTTTTAATTAAATAATAGGTCCAAAATTAGTTTAAAGATTAATAAAAGTAGAACATATTGTAAACATTACTGATGATTACCTTTTTTGGGGAGAACAATTTCCTGATAATTTATCATTTTGTTCTTCGGCTGCCGAGCGCAAATTTTTTTTAATATTTTTCCTCGTCTTTTTTGTGGTTACTTGTTCATATTCACTAATAAAGCAAATAAAATGAATTATTGTTTTGTAATAATTCATTTCATTATTTCAAAAAAGTATAAAAAATATACATATTAAAACAAAAAGTCAAGTGCCATATACATTTTTTTTTAAATAAATGATATTTCAAAATTGTTTTTCAGAATTTTAATTACTCAAAAAAAGTCATTCTACATAAACAATTTAAATACTACACTATATATTTATTATCATAAAAAAAAAAATTTCAACACAAACTTACTTATTACCAGCCTCGTTATTGTTGACTCCCTCATCATTTTCATCACTTTCTTCATAGTTTAATCTAATTCTAAAAAAATGATGTACACTTCAATAATAATAATTACATTTAATTATGATTATTTATTTTAGTGTAATAAGATGATATTATGATGGCACATTTAACTAAATACAGTAAAATATATTTATCAATAATGAATGGCAAATATACTGAAAAATACTAATTATTTTTCAATAAAAGCAAAATAAAAAATAATGAAAACTCTAATTTTAGTTTATAATGTTAATACAAGTTAATTACTTGTATTTACTTATATTACAATAGATGAAAAATAAATTATTTTGTCATTTAACATACCGTTCTAATGATTCATTGGATTTACCAGCAAATTTACAGTTTTTCTGATTAAATTTTTTTTCCGCTCTATATAAATTAAAAATGATCATTAGTGTTAAGGTCTACTAATCTTAATTATTTTTATGTTACAACTTATAATGTTTTATTTATCGATTCATAATATTAATTTTTAACTTAGGAAATTCTTTTACACATGTTTTTGAATATTGCTAAACAAAATAATTTGGAAGTTAAAAACATAAAATGTTAATATCTTAATGTAATATATCATTTTGATAGGCTTTTGGATCTAAACTACTAAATGTGTACGAGACGTGACGTGATGGTCAGACAAAGAAAATATTTAAAAGTATATTCTTGGAGTAAAAGAGAAATTAAAAAATAGTTTTCCAATGATCGTGCAATTTGTGGGATGATTAGAAAATTACAACGATAAATGATGATAATATTACTTTAACAAATATTACACAAAATTACCTTTTTTTGAGAAAATTATTTTCTGATAACTCATCGCTTTGTTTTTCAACCTCTGAGAGTTCGGACTTCTTTTTATTAAGTATCTTTGATTTTTTTGAGGTGGCTTGTTGATCTCTATTTTAAAACAAATTATAAAGCTCTTTATAATAATATAGTAGATTTATAATAGATATTTATACTTCCAACACTTACCTGTCATTATTTGTAACTAAATTGGGGTCTCTTTGCATAGATGTATTATTGTTACTAGCTTCAATTTTACTAATTGGTACTTTTTTCTTATTATTAGTAACTTTATTTATTGGAACACCAACTGTGCTGTCGTCCTCTTCGGGCTGTATTTCTATACTATAGAATTTAACATAATTATAAGCTTTTCAATAAACATTTTTATTTTTGAAATCGGTCCAATAGAAGTGTCAAAAATAACTTCCACACCCATAAGCTTCAACATTTCCCAATACGAAAAAAGTTTCATATAATCAGGAAATCACATAAGCAGTAAATAACATAGTAATTACCTTCTTTTGGGAGAACTGTTTTCTCGTAACATATTATTTTGTACTTTGAGCTCGGAGGGTTCTGAATTTTTTGAGGTGACACATTTACTCCTTAAAAACAAATTGTATTTTTTCATTTAAATATATATAGCTTTATTTTAGAAGTTTGTACAGCTTATAAATTTATATATATATATAATAAAATAAATATATAATAGACAAACAAAATATTACTAGTATACTTAATATTTAATACAATTACTTTTTATTTTTTGATTTGGTCATTTTGTCTTATTAGCAACTTGCTTCTGAAATCAATATTACAAATGAAATATATTTATTATAAAAGTATAAAATAAAAAATTCAGTATGATTTTAGAAAACTATAATTTTTTATTATATTAATACCCTACAATAACCTATTAGCACTCATTAATATAGTTAAATTTCAAAAGTTTTATCATAGAGATTGGTAATAGCGTGATTTTCTCCTATAATATCAGTTATTATAAATTCTTAGACATGTTTTTTAGTTGATGAAATGTGATCATTTGTTTAAAAACCTTTAATTAAATTTTTTTCTTTCTACTTAATGAGTTAGGTTTTTGTATTAAACAATTGATCATATCAAATTACAATAAATGTATTGTTGTATATGTACCAAAGGGTTTAATGCAAGTATGAAAACGAAAAATAAATTGATCAAATAAAGTGTGTTTAAAAGTTTAACTACTTAATAAGTGTAAAGTGCCAAATTAGATATTGTGAGTCATATTAGAGAAAATAATTATAATATCCTGTGTAGAGTAATCGGTAGTTATAATTTTAGTTTAAAAACATAAAACTTATAGTATTATGTAATCATAATAATTATTTTTATTATATAAATGTATTTCAATAAAAGACATTTCTCGTTTGTAAAAATAACTGATATAAATACAGATTTTGGATTACACTTACCAGACTTTTTAGGAAAAATGATTATACTTAAAATAATTATAACTAAGTATTTTACTAAAATTATTATTTTTACTGAGAATTATTTAATACAAAATATATTCTTCCTACAACTAAAAAAAAAATTCAATAATTAAACTGTCAGGAACACACTACCAATAATAAATGCTCGACATTTAGACTTTAGATGTGGGTACTGGGTATGAATTAACATTTATTGTCTGCGTTTATCTGAGGAGTCCGGCGGGCGGCGCGTGTGGTTATTGGTTATAATCACATTAGAACGCAATAACGCGCTTCCTTTATCATATTTCAATACCGATTTGACTACTCAGCAGTTTAAATATTGCATTTCAACAATTGTTTACAAAATAAAACTGTCACCTATGCGCGGCTTACAACGATGATCTATTTATTTAATTTCCTTTAATTTCATATTCTTATTACCTAAATCGCACTCACAATAATGATTAATGTATAATGCACGGAGTACATGATATAATACTATGGAGTATGGTGTTAGATTAGTCATTAGAATTTAGACGGCAGTCGTGTTATTTCGAGTTCACATTATCATGGAATATTATAGTTCGATAAAGCGGTATATAGTGCTCGATAACCTCACGCACACTGAACAGAAATACTATTTGGGTTCAAATTTCAAAATCATAACGCAGACTTTTAAGTAATCTGGTTATTTTAAATGTAAATAAAATATAGAATTTACCCCATAGATCATAGTCTTGACTCTGTGCGACTCCCACGTGTGTGGTGTGACTTGGGAGTGATACAAGTAATTTAGTTAAATTACATTTTCAGCAACTCGTGTTATCAATTTCCTCAACATGGCTGCTAACGTTTTCACGTAAGAAATACACGGCCGCCCGAAAACGCTGGCGGCCATTTTCAGTGTTAACACAAGTTGCCGATACACACGTCTTTTTTGCCACGATAAAAAAACGTCATTACAAAGTAAGTGGCTATGGGTATGCCAGCATCTCATGTTGTCCATTTACGCAACACGCCAGGTCCCAGACACCGATAACAATTACTAAGGGCTACACCACTATAATGTTATATCTAAACGTTATTATTTTAAGAAGTGTATAGATATAACACATATTACTAAATAGGTCTTTTTAGGACTATAAAATATGCTGTCCACCCCGTTTGAATCACAAGAAATAGCATTTCGGCCGTCGCCTTGTGGTTATCACGAGCTGTTGCCGGCCTACCTTTACCATTTTTTTATCAACGCGCCAATCGGTCGGTCGTTATCAATAAGTTTGTCACACTGCGCTGGATGGCGTAAACGCGGTTGACGGCACTGTATTAAGCTCATCCCCGATAGTCCCTAGTCCCTACCACGGTAGCAGTTTCCTCCTCTAACTTCTCCTACAGTGGACGGCCAAAATCTTAAAATCCTAAAGAAATATTATTATTGTTTAGGGTCCCCACTCTCAAGTTTCGGTACTTTACTACTTTCATATATATTATAATATAATATCATCTTATGATGTATATTTATTACTGGACTATATAAAATACACTGAACAATTCCAACTGAAAACAACACCACAAGCACACAGCGCCTGCGCCTTACGAGTTACGGCCTACAGTCAATAGTCGATCCACGCATTGTCGAGACTCGAGAGGTTGTCGATTGCCGGCGTTGTTGAGTTAACATCACGGCAAACGTAATCCGCACAAAATACAGTAACATAATATTACATTTTTTTCGATGTAAGCTAAATATCACATTAAATTGTTATTGATATTTTGGTCATCAGCTTTCTAATCAATATTACCCGTTTGTTTATCAGTGCCGGCGTTAAATCGTAACTACACTCCCAAAAATCACCGAAACCGGCAACTTCTTACGACAGCTATTCAATTCCAATAACAGGTTAGTAGAAACATATCATAACTTAGTTAGCATTTAATTACCATTGCAACTTTCATACATGTACAAATAATTGTAGTTATTGGCGTCGAATAGTCAGGAGCAATCTAACACACAAAATATATTAATTAATCTGCCGTGTTTACGTAAGCCAAGGTTTATCTTTTCTAACAAAATTCTGGATAATATTATTTCACAATTCATAGCTCAAAGTACAGTTGAAAGTAAAACGGTAATATTCTATTCACTTTTTCAAATCAAAGAAAATACCTCTATAATCTACTATAATTGTTGACTGATATCGTAGCGCAAACGACAATATTGCAGGAAAATATGTGAGTTGTTATGTTATTAATTAGTCAAGAGACTGAAATCTAACCTAACCTTGCTGCGCTTGCATAGAGCGTTTCAGTCTCTGCATATTGCTCAGATAAATCTCAAAAAGTATTACTTTTTGATAATAGACTGTTACAGTAGGTATATACCTAAATGTCAGTCCTTGGATTTCTAATCCTTGTATTTGAATCTGCAAAAATCAGTAATGTAGTAACTCGTGGCATAAAATACGCTTGTACCAAAAAAAAGCTGTAGTTTGTGGAACCGCTTTTAAACCAATAAATATGTAGTATAGGAAATAACATAATAATGTAATGTACATTAGTCTTGTAGATGACTTTTTTAATCTAAATTATAAATTATTGATTAAACATAAAAATAATTTAATTAGTACTAATTATATGGTAAATAGCTCAAATTAAACCTAATCTTATCTATCTAATTATAACGTAGATAGATAATGGTTCAATCATTGTCTATTAGTTACATTGAAAATGATAATATTGTACCTACTAACCAATTGAACATTTTAATATTTAAAACATAAAAAATAAAAATATATTTATTATCTATTGGAAATAAACCTAAAAATAAAAGTCTTTGGAAAAAACAAAAAAATATATACATATTTGAGTAAGTTAGAATCTTTCATGTTACAAAATATGTCGTAGTTTCTTTAAAAAAAAAGTTTTGTTTAGCCAATTAAGCTTTTTGCCATTTATTTTACTACAGCTGCTGTACAAATAGCCTAAAATGTATAACTAAATGAAAAAGGAAGCCTACAAATTTTACAACCTTACCAAAAATTTAAAAACTCAAATCTAAGCCACTCATATTTTGTAATCTTGTTTGCGCAAACCTTTTTTATTTATTTAATAACCTTCCCTATTATTATTATGATAATATAAACCATATTTTTATTTGCGTTTTCTTGTGATGATGATTTTAATTTTTAACTTAACCGTTAATAATTACTACAAACAATATTATTATAATTTTGCTGTGTATCGGTAGATATTGGTATGTCGTCGAGATACAGAGATTCTGGCAATCCAGATTGTAAAATATATGTCGGTGATTTGGGATCGTCAGCATCGAAACAAGATTTAGAGGATTCTTTCTCATATTACGGACCAATCCGTAATGTTTGGGTAGCGAGAAACCCGCCCGGTTTTGCTTTTGTAGAATTTGAAGACCCTCGAGATGCTGAAGATGCGGTCAGAGGATTAGACGGCCGGTAAGAAGCTAAACTTGATAGTTGATTATAATATATCCTGCTTGAAAATTCCCGTTTAAAAATTACCAATAATATTACATTTTTTTATTATAATTTTTTTTATTTTTTACTAATATTTAGCAGCATTTGTGGCAGACGAGTTAGAGTTGAGTTATCCAATGCTGGCTCTCGTAAAGGATCATACCGTGGTGGGCCACCACGTCGTGGACGCCCATTTCATCCAGAAGATAAATGTTATGAATGTGGAGACCGTGGACATTACGCACGCGATTGTCGTCGTTTTAAAGGAGGGCGACGCAGGTAAATTATTCATTTGTTAATCCATAATTATATAATATTATGCTAATTAAAATTTTACTAAAAATTTCACTAATATTATTTTACATAATGTGGTGAAGTTTTTGTTGTACATGTGATACTGTACAGTACATTACAAAATCTATGTGAAAACAGTATTGAAGAAACTGACTGTAATTGGCCATTTTTGTAGGATGTTCGGCTGAGAGCGTCTCGTCTCGTAGTGTCGATCGTCGTAGAGCTCTCAACCAAAATAAAATATATTGATCTTCTTCTACAAGCACCGTGCCTTAGTCGTCGGACTACGATGCACCTATATGTCTGTCTGCGTTTATCGATGTATACTGAGCTACTTGAACCCCATCGAGCCCGACCCAACTAATGATTTTTATTCTGATGCTCATTAGCTACCTATCGGTGAACGTACACAGACGTCTCAGAGACAGAGAGTTATAAATAATATCTGCATAACGCCAATGGCTGTGTCTACGTAGCATAACAACAATGATCATTTTAAGACAATGATGAACTTCATTTTTTAATGTGAGTCATTTATAAAAACACAAGAGCAGGTTGGAATCGTTGTTAGGTAGTATAAATATTACATTTAGACATCTATCCATATATTTATCTATGTCCTTCTTAAGATTTCCTATATTATGAAATTAAGTAAAATAAGTGTTTATATTTAAATAATAAAATTCAGAATACTTTACTAAATTTATTTAAAAAAAAAAATACTAGTATTTAAGATTGTTATTTTAAATTGTAATCTATGCAATTTAAACAAAATATATTACTGATGTCCTTTTTAAAAATTAACACGTTTCAATTTCTTTACAAAGACTAACATGTTAATTTATTTCCAACAAAAACGCAACACATTTTACTATAGAATCATAATATGTAAAAACAAAAGAATTAGTTTATGGAAAAGAGAGAAACGTGTTAGTTTTCGTAAGGGACATTAATATGATCTTTTTGAACCACTAAATATGTTGAAAAATTTTTTTTCAGCACTTTATGTATTTGTTATTATTTAAGTCGTCTTGCATTATAATATTGACTTGTAAGATAAAACTTATAAAAAAAATTTACCTAATTTTTTGTTATCACTAAAACGAATTCTAGGTTTAATAATATGTTATCTAGGTATAACAAATCTGGTGTTCCTACAAAAATAATTCATAATAAATACTGTTTTGTAATGAGTACATTTTTTTTTTACTCAAAATTGTTGAGCATTTTTAGTGGATCAAATTTGAGTATTTATGTTGGGGTTTACTAGAAACAAAATAGGGCCATTCAACATTATTATTATAAAGTTTTTATGAACTCATTATTATTGTATTTAAAATAACTATTTAAGATACTTTAATTCTGTTGTTAAGAGCTCCGGTTGTGGCTACATTTAAAGAGACCAAATGTAGACAATGTTAGGGGAAAAATATTTTATAATACATTTTGACTGTGTCAATTTACTTTCGCGTTGATTTGTGTATAATTTTCATGGTGTTGTTTTTAACATCTACAATTTTTTCCGTGTATAATAAATAATAACCCTTAAAAAAAAAACAATGATGTCTTGTAGAGTGATCAGATTTTGATTGTTATTTTTGAATTTTGTAGTAGAAGACTAGTAGTTTACATTGATCTCTAATGATTTTATTTAATTGCCAAGCATCATAAAAATTTAAGGTTAAAAAAAACTTTATACTCAAAAGTCGTTTATTACAGAAATACAGAATTAAATGATTAAAAATTTGATATCGGTGCAGACTGAAAAAAGTCTTCCTCTTTCAAACAAACAAAAAATAATCTAAATCAGATTATCCTGCAAGGTGTGAGATTTTTTTCTATATGCATTTTGTTCTTGAGCAAAAAACAGACCGCGACCGGACCTCTTAATTATTATCCCTAAATTAGGAAAATAGTTATAATTAAATTTATTTAACTTTAATATATTATAATACTTATTGTGAAATATTATTTTGGTGGTAAAATAGTAAAAAACGGTTAATAAGCAATATTTAAATCATTTTTTCAAGAAATTTTTTTTTATTTGAGATGTCTATTTCATATACAGTAAGGAAAATATGTTTTTGTTAATAGAGTTGGCTAAAAAAATAACTGCTGATTTGGTATTTACCCAAAATAATGAATTTTGTTGGAGGTTTTTTCCTTTTTAAAAAAATAACTGGGTTAAGCTTTACTTAGAAAAAAATTCCGGTTATTGCCAACTCTCTTTGTCGGACATATCAAGCTGTACATGAAATGGTTGAAAGACGGTAAACAGTGTGTAACATACTTTTTTCTATATAACATTTTAGTTTCAGAATTTTTTTTTCTATTATATTTTTATTAAAAATTAAACCAAGTATATTTTGTTTAATATAGTTGTAATTTTTAATATTTTACGTTACATAAAAGGTCATATACTCCATCTCGTTCGCGTTCGCGATCACGATCACGTTCACGCTCCTACAGCCGTAGTCGCCATTCTCGATCAGTGTCAAAATCTGGCTCACGATCGCGTTCCAAGTCTGCTGTGTCCCGGCGCTCGGTTTCCAAATCTAGATCTCGCAGCCGATAAGCTAAATAGGTGAGCAAGTGTTATATTTTTTTCTTGCTATTATTTTTTTTTTTTTATGTAATATGTAATTATATTTTTCAGTTTTACGTTGTATCAAATCTTCTCTTTAGGACACGGACATGAGTTTTATTACTACATTCACGCCGATCAAATACAGAAAACTTAACTGGAACGTATCTACTATACAATAATTATTGACCTAGATTTTGCATTATCTTATAAAAAAATGTTTTACTATTTTTATTTTATTTTTTTGTTAGAAATGTAAAAAATTAAAATATCACACTTGATTGGTTGAATTAATTTTTACCTAGTTATTTTATTTCAAGCATGTATAAAAAAAAAAATCTTTTATAATAAGCTTCATAATTCAAAAGTCAACTTTTTTTCTCTTTTACAATATCATTTTTTGTAATTACTTAATTGTAACTAGTGGTTATTATTATAATTCATTATATTGTCTTTTAAAACGCATTTGATTGTTGAACGCATTTATTGTTTATCTACACCAAATCATTGCGTAAATATTAGCACGTAGCACTTTCCGATTTTGACATAAAATTATAATGAAATAAAAGAGCCTTGCTAAATAGTAATGTATACATTTTTTAATGATTTATCTGTATTGGTTCTGCTTTTATTAGACATTGTTACAATTGCGTCGAAGTTTAGTGATTTCCATTAATAATTCTATATCCTATAATATTTAATTATTGAAACGTCACAAAAAAAATTATTGGTTTCATTTAGAGGCAGATTTTTTAGTTGATTCAAAATAACATACTAATAAATTTTAGTATCTACAAAATATAACAGTTATTGAAATATTGAACAATGTATGTCTTTTTTTAGTTGATATGAAAGCGTATTTATTAGTCGTATGTACAAATAAACGTTTATAGTGTATGGGTGTGTGTTTAAGTATAACATATGCATTTTACCCGTCAGACATTGTAGCGGTTGTGATGTATATTTATTATCAGATGCAATTTGTGTAAACCTACTATGTTGAAATCACATTTAGTCAGTCGTATTATATAAAATTATATACCTACGTGACTTAGCATTATTAAATATCAACGAAATTATCATAAGTAAATATCAACAGGCAAATTGTGTAAGAATTTTTGTGTTTGGTATCTTGTTTTTAGTTTTCCTTAATAAAAAAAAAATGTTTGGCTACAGATTTTTCGAGAAAATAATATATTATGTTGTAGGGCCATAATAACAGGATTTCTTATACAGGATGATCATTTTATCGTGATGTAATTTTTTTTTTTTTTATAATGTTTCATCGACTTTAAAATTTAGAATAATGTACTACACATTTTTACTGGTCGATAACCAGTTTGAAATAACTATTTTTGAAGTTATTGAAGTTTCAAGTTTAGGACAGGAGGAAAGGTGGAGTGTAGTATTATGTTTATCTGCGCGCACTTCCCCTCCCGTTTAAACTCTTATAACTTCAAAAAAAGTTGTTCAAAACTAGTTATCAATTAGTCAACATTTTTAGTACATTATTCTCAACTTGAAATGTCAATAAAAAGTATGCGTGATTTAAGTTTCAAAAAGTGTCATAAAAAAAACTAAGTTGGGAGGGGGTAAAAAACAAAAAAACCAAAAATTGCAAAAAATTGTTATTACATTGTACAAAAACAATACAAAAAAAAAATCTTATTAAACCTTATAAGATATCGAGAAAGAGGTTCACGATAATATGATCACCATATATATATAACTAAAAAAAAATTAAATTCGTAATACAACTCTTTATGTTAGTAATATTTTTTATGTTACTTATATTCTTTCAATATTGATTTTATCGAATTATAATCATCATGGTACATATGCAGTTTCATTGCCATATCTGACAACCATCAAACGCCAACCGTCAGCGCCAACAGTTGTACAAATAAAATAAAAAATTGGATACCTACGTGGGTGAATCGATATGGTCGTTCTATCAGTAGTTGAAAAAAAACTGTAACATAGGTACAACCACATAATTTTTTATACAGTTTGATGCACGATTAAAAAATGCGATTTTGTACATTATTATCCATCGTGGTTTGCTGTACGATTAAAGTAAGTATACGGTTATGCAAAAATAATACTATACTAACGTACTTAGATGTATTATAAAGAATTATTAATTACGGATCATACAACGGTCAATCTATTAACTAAATAGAATATAATAGTCTGCCGACATGTTGTGTTTAGGTTCACACGGCTCCGTTGCAAAAGAGAGATGTCGAAACCAATTCGGTGAGTTTAATTTTTTTTTGCATTTTACAGGCAAAATAATGTAACAATTTCGGCCTTTATAATATAATAATTAATACTTTAAGTGAATAGTAATTACTAATAACCTATGTATATATATATATATATATATAAATATGGTATGAGCGTAAGACACTGTATGGTAGGTACTATTGATAATAACAAAAGTTGTTAACTTTAAAAAATAAGGTTATAAAAACGTTCAACATTTTGAGTGAAATTTTGATCTAAAATTGATCTAGTTACCATTTTAAGTACCTATACCGACTAATTTTAACGGAAAAATATATTAAGTTTTTCTAGTTATAAAACTATTAAAGTTATTTTTCTCCGAGTTATGGTGCAAGTTTGATAGACAATGGCTTTCGTAGAGTCATTTTCCGGCGTATCTATTGGACGGATTTCAATTTATATTTTGTTTATAGGAAGCTTACTATTTTCTCTATGGGGCTAGAAGGCCGATTTTTATTTAGCTATTAGATAATTAGTTAAATTTATTAGAAAAAATCCACCAAAAAGTAAAAACATAAACGTTTATAGTAAAATTTTAAAAACCGATAAAAAATAATCGGTCTTTTAGCCCGCATAGAGAAGATGTTAGTTATTAGTTGTTTAAATAAATTCAAACTGATTCAATAGTAATACAGTTTTCAAGTTACTTGGCCGTGTTGAAGTACCTTAAAAGTTATCGTCTTTAACCTAATTATATAAATACATTTTTTTAAGTTTACATTTACATATACCTTAAATTTTTTTTTAAAAATGAATATATGGAGTTTGAAAATAACTATCTATAACTTTCTTATTTTCAGTGTTTTAATAGGTATTTGAGTAAAATTAAGTGAGTAAATAGGTATATTTTTTAAGGTAATTTTAATCGTCAAATACTTTACTTTTATATTAAATAGATTTGGTTTTTAAACACCTACATCTAGTCTTTTTATTTTTAATAACGCTATAAATGTCATTAAGGATCGAGTATTTGATGTTTAAAAAAAAACAGTAGGTATACTTAGATACAGAAATAAAATAGCTTTAGAGGATTGTTTTGTTTAGTCTACTTAAAAATGAGTATATATTACCTATTACCCATACCTATTGGCTATTTATAAAAAAATGTACATGTTTCAGGAAAAAGGAAATTCTGAAATCGATAATTTAAAACAACAGGTAAATTTGAGTATAAATTATGTAATTAAAAAAAACCTATTCTGTATCAAAAAATATAAAATGATTACATAACTTAATGACTAACCTAGGTTAGATTAATATGAGTGGTTGAAAAAGGAGCGTAGGTAAACAAATATTGTAAATTGGACTAGATTTAAAAGCATTGTATAATATCATTTTTACTACCACTTTTAACCTTTTTCTTCCAGCTTTAAAAGCCATTAAGGCCCATCGCTGCAAAACAAATCTCCTTCCATCTGTCTCTGTTCAGAGCTGCTTCAATAATATTGTCTATTCCAAGTTGATTTAGTTCTTTTTTATTTTTGTCCATCCACCTCTGTTTCCGTCTTCCAATCGGCCTTCTTCCCTGAGGAATCCAGCTTAATACATCATTTGCTATTGACTTAGCCCTTAGCACATGTCCAAGCCAACTCAGTCTCTTGTGGCGTATTTCCGCTATTATGTCTGGTTTTCTGAATAATTCCTGCAGTTCTCTGTTAGACCTAATTTCGTATGTTTGGTCTTCGTTTCTTTTTGGTCCGTAAATCCTCCTAAGGAATTTCCTCTCCATGATAGCTAGTCTATTCTCATCTCCTTGGGTCGTGGGCCATGTCTCACATGCATACATTATCACTGGTCTAGCTAGTACTATGTAAAGTTGTTCTTTTGATTTTTTTGACAGTAGCTTCGACCCCAATAACCCCGAGAGGGCGTAAAAACATTTGTTTCCCGATGTAATGCGTTTTTTTATTTCTTCGTGGTTGTCGTTTGTGCTACTTAAGTTAGTGCCTAAATATTTAAAATCATCTACCTCCTCAAACATATATCCTCCGACCTGTAGTCCAACTGCATTTCGCATCTGACCTTTGTTCCTACCGATTCGCATGTATTTTGTTTTAGTCTCGTTAATGTTGAGTCCCCGTTTTTTTGCACTTCGTATCAGCAGTCCCGTTGCTTTTTGAATGTCCTGCTCACTTTCGCCTAATATTACAACGTCGTCGGCATATGCTAGTAATGGAAGGTTTCGACCGCAGTTAATTCCTTGATATTCTTCTTGTACTTCCCTTACTGCCATCTCTAGTACGATGTTAAATAGTATTGGTGACAGTGCGTCACCTTGTTTTAATCCTGTTGTTGTTTGGAATTCTTCTGATTTTTCGTGACCAAATTTAACTGCACATCTTGATCCTTCCGTACTCACTCTTATCATCGATATTAGTTTTGAGGGGACTCCTAATAGTTTTAAGCATCTCCATATTTCTGCTCTTTGTACGGAGTCATATGCCTGTTTAAAGTCTATAAAAATTAAGTGTAACGGCCTGTTGAACTCATAGTACTTTTCAATTACTTGTTTAAGCATGAATATATGGTCTATTGTTGATCTGCCTGACATGAAACCACTCTGATATTCTTCTATGATGTTATTGGCGTATGGTCTTAATCGGTTTAGTAGAGTATTCGATAGAATCTTGTATGCGGTGTTCAGTAAGGATATTCCTCTATAGTTCTTTGCATCCATGGGGTCCCCTTTTTTATATATGGGGCATATTATCGCTAGGTTCCATTCCGGTGGAATCCTTTCAGTTTTCCATACTTCTTTTAATAGGTCCCATATTTCCTGCGTTAGTTTTTGTCCACCGTTCTTTAGGAGTTCAGCCATGATCGAGTCTTCTCCTGGGGCCTTATTATTTTTAAGCATTTTAATGACCACTTTTAACCATTTTAACAATTATTGTTCTGTTGTAATTATTGTACTAATAACCTTAAAAACTATTGTCATTATTGTGTTCTTAGGCGTCTAGTACTTTTTCCAATCTACCCGGTAAAAACAACAATGCCAACAAACCAAATGTGAGTATAATATACATATACTACTTTATTTTTAGAATGCACTAAAATATACTGCTATACCTACTTAATGTGTTTTATTAATCTACAAAGCAATAAATGTTTTTAAGAAGTTTTTTAATTTTTTAATTTTAACACTGTAAAATATACCTAAAAATTGCAAATATAAGAGCATTTTTTAACAAAATCGCATTTCCCTAAAATGTATGTCTATTTCAAAAATTAAATTGATATTTTTTAACTTTTTACTTCTATAAATTAAAAAAAAAAGTTATAATATAAATCTATTAATTAGTGGCCGACCCCATATAGTTAGGAGTGTAGCACGAAGATAAAGAAAAAGAAGACTAGGCCCATTTTTTTCTTTTGGCCGGGGCCTCAAAAATTCTAAATCAGGCTCTGTTTCTATTAATTATTATAGAAAAGCACTAACAAAAAACAAATCTAAACTCTACCTAATTTTTTTTAATATTTTGATTCGTATTGATTTACAATGGTGTTTTTATTATTTAAAAATAATAAAAACAATTTTTTATGAAAATGACATTTCGAACTTGATATATTTCTTTATCGTAACTTTACATTTTCAAGCACTGTTTTTTATTAAACAAAGTTTAAAATATATCGATTCTTTAGAAAAATTAAATTTTATAAGTGGTTTAGTTAGTCATCGGGCTTTTTTATTTCTATGTTTGTAATGTTTATGTTTTTTTAGAACATTGGACAATGGGTAAAAGGTGTGCCTTCTAAATGGCCTGTAAAGGTAATACAAATCACGTGTATGTATACAAGTGTAAGAACTAATCAGTTATATTTAAATTGCGTAGACAAAAGCAAACAACGGTGGCAAACCAAATGGTAAACAAACATCCAACAAGGTATGTACTATGTAGCTATGGACGATTTATCATTCTTTTTACACTTTTAAACTATAAATTATGATTTACCAACTACAAGTATTTTTATTTCTATTGTTGTTACTACGTATTATAATAATACATTTAAAAAAAAATTATTCCAACTATAATAACTAGTTTACACCCATTTCTAGATTTCAAGAAGTTCTCAATCACTGTCAATAATCTTTCGGTTCTCACCACTTCAGTTATGTTGATTAATCAGTAAAAATGTTTTGAGCATTTTTTTCAATTTCTCTTGTAGTTCACTGGTCACTAAATTAATGTTTTTAAAAAAGAAATACTCATTTTATTAAGATAATTATGGAAAAAATGTAACTTGATTCGATCACGTTTTGATGGAAAAACGTATTCTAAATAGAGTATGATATTAATAATATGTTTAATGTGTATGAATTAACATAATTATTATAATATTGTTATTGATTTTTGTTGATTTTTTTTTGTACCTACAGCTTTATTATTATTTTTATTACAGAAACTAAAAGAAAAGACAAACCAACTAGACGAAGATGAAATGACAGTATGTTTGCTATATAATATTACTGTAGTCTATTTTAATTCCAAGATTTTTCTTGAATATAAATTATTTATTAATTATAAATTTACACCAGCCGTCGTCCTCATAGTATCACTGTAGATAATATAATTAGATATTATAATAACCGTAACTTTTTTTTTTTGTCTTTTATATCTAATTTATTACACATAGTCAATTCTTGTTTTATTCCAATTACATTTCTATAAAATATTTATACTTTATGTATACGATTCGTATAGCACTTTGATCTTGAATCTGCACGGCGGGGTAGAATTTTAATCTTAAATAATCAATTTTTATTATTATAAATTATAATAATATCTATAGGGGAATATGTTTGAAGAGCCCGAAACTGAAGGCGATACTGTTGCTAAAGTCGAACAGGATGGCTCCGAAATGCCCAGAGAGGAATCAGTAGACAATAACCAGGAAAACAATGCAAATAATAAAAAAAATAATAGCACTAAAAAAAAAAAGAAAAACACTCGTAAGAATTATCCTACGATGGTTCAAAATCCATTGTATATTGGCGGGTTACTAGTAAGTTCATAGCTATAATAACTACGCCAAGGTGTTAAATATAATAGTTATTATGATTTAGTATTATTTTTTAAAGAAATTACAAAAAAATAAAGTAGTTAAGGACATTTTTGTAAGACTCTTCTCGATTTCTGTAAAAAGATTTACATTTGCTAATGCTTATAAGAATTTTTAACAGTAGTGCATTACATTTATACAAGCCACTTTTGTCCATTTCAAACACTGAATTAACACATTATTTATTAACCAAAAATGCTTATTAACAATATGTAATTAGATATTTTGGTAAGGGTTTTCCACATGAAAACATGGACAACGAAGGCATAACGACACATACTGAAGTATGGAAATGGAACGACGGCGAAGAAGTGGTGCTAATAAACGATGTTAACCCAAAATCAAGTAATCAAGTAAGGTTGCTGCTAACCAGCACGATTGACGATTTGTTAGGCACTATAGTTTTAATAGATAAAACTAAAAAATCAAGAAAGAGGTTAAATTAAAGACGCATAAGAGCATACTTTTTTATAATAACCTTTATTCGATAGTATGATGGCTTAAGAGTAGAACTCTCTTCGCCCGGTGGGGACTTTAAGCTATAATACGTCAAGTCTTCTTCTGTAATTCGTTAAAATTCCCTTAATATATCATATTAAAAAAGTTAAACGTTTTTTTTTTAAATTGGGTTTAATTGTTAACCATAAATCATAATTCTATAAGAATAAATGATAATTCGTATTTGATTTAAAAAAAAGCTATGCATGAGCCGACTTGGGTTTTGGCAAAAGCACAGTTAGAATTACCCACGCAACATAGGTATTTAATCCACGTTAAAAAAATACAAAAATTACATATTAAATGTCAGTCCCCAAAAAGACACAATTGTAAACAAAATTGTTTTTTTCTATTTTAGAAGTCCAACAGTGATAATGTTTTTCTTCGGGAGAAACGAAACTTCGACGAAAAAAATATTCCATTTGTAGCGGAATTTGTACCAAAAGACTATCAACATGCCAATTTATATTCGGAAACACAAACACCCAAAAAAAATATTGAAGAAAATGAAAATTATGGCAGTACAAAGAGTTTAACAGGAAATGACGATTATGAAAAAGATAATGCACAGTTAAGAAATGAACTTGATGATGACAGTGTCACTATATCACCCGAAGAACAAGATAGTTTGATTCCGCAAAGTGAACTTAAGGAATCACCTAAAGATTTACAATTAAAGGAAAGTTTTTTTGAATTCAACAAAGAACATATAAACAACGAGTTAACAAAAATTGAGTCTAAAACGACACCATTTTCAACTTTATCAAATAATCACGATGACGATGTCTACAGAAATAATATAAAGAAAAAAATTATAAAACGTTTAGTACCAAAAATAAACCTTACAAAACCGAATGAAAAAATCAACGCTATTGAGAATGATGATGAATCCTTACAACATAATTTTAATAACGACGAAAGTATTAATTCAAAAGATTCTATACCAACAGAACACTCCACTAATGGTAAGATAATACATTTTTATTAATTTGTAAATATTGTCTCTTTTATGAAGAAAAAATAATTATTGAATATGTTATGACTGGCGACTGCTATACTAAATCTAGCTTGGTTCGTTCGATTTTGGGTCACGAGCTCAAATTTACTTCCTTAAGATTTGTAAATTTAATTAAGTTATGACAATTTTACCTACCTATTTATATATATTTTACAAACATTTGTTACAATTAATCTAAATTATTGATCGATTTATATAATAGGATGAGTGTATCCACGTGTTCAACGTTTTGCTGACGTTTTGCATACATCGAGTTCAATTTCAGCATGTATAATAGTAGCCACAATTTTATAGTAACTAGGTAGCAACCGATATTCGGTAAATAGAAGGAACATAATCTAAGCTAATAAAAACAAGTATAATAAGTAGATAAAATAAGCGTAAGTATTCAGTATAGTTCAAGCAACCAAGTAACTAACCATGCGGCATGATCCAAAGTTGGACGTTGCAATAAAGTCATAACGCCAGCAGATACCTGAACACGTGTAAAAATGTGAATAGTGTAAATATGATAAACTAAAATGTTTACATTTAGGTTACAGTTTATTTAGTACTATAATACGTGTAATTCATTTCAGATAATATACAAACAAATAAAATGCGAAATATCGAAAGCAATCGAAATCCTGGACCTGATCAGCTTCTACAGAGTGATAAAATAAGAAATGGTCTCGGAAACCGTCAATTTTTTGATAAAAAAGATAGAACAACAGCAAATTTAGACGAAAAAGAAAAATCAGACGAATTACCTAGTTCTTCCACCAAAAATGAAATAAGTGACAAACTGCAAAACACTAACAAAGACAATTTGGATGAAGACGAACTCAAAAATAATAATTTGTTTTCATCGGATGATTTTTTTTTGGACGGCAGTATACTCGATACAGATGACAAAAATAATGTTAATGTGTCATATTTAAACGAAACATTAGATAACCCTGACGATAAAAATAAAATGAATGATGTGTCACTTAAACCAAATGACAATTCCCGCTTAGAACTGTCATCTTTTGAGTCAAATGAAGTAAATAAAATACCACAGACTGACACAGCATATACTGATAATTATGAAAAGAACCATAATTTGAACATTACACCACAGAACGATGACAACACTAATTATGTACAATATTTGGACGAAACTCCAAATATCCCTGTGGAAGACCCTAAACTGGAAAGCTTGTCACTCAATCAACCTAAAATTCCACTCCACAACCTACAATCACATGTATCTAATGACAAAAATAAAAATATGATTATATTAAATAAAGATAAACTAAATAATAATGATTATATTTCATATAAGAATGATTTAAATAAACCTAATGAAAACAACTTAACGAATGGTTTGACATTTAATGAAAACCCGATTTCAAACATTGAATCGTCGAACCAAGTTTCCAAAGAAGAAAATCAAAAAAATCCACAATATGGTAGCAAAACAAATAATGACGCATCAAACAATCCTTCAAAAGATATGAAACCAACTGAAAATAATGTTCTCCCATCGAATTCTTGGATTGACAATGACAATTTTTTTGATAAAGCCGATAAAACAGATTTAGAAATGAAAGACCGGGCTCCATTCATTGAGGAAACATCTGCTATTCCTATTGAAAACGATATATCTCACGGTTTGTCCAAAAATCCAAAACATGACGACCAAACGAATTTATCCGAATTAAACAATAATCAAGATGATATCAAACCTAATATACATGATGTTCTTCTTTTAGACCAGTTGTTTATTAATGATAACAAATTAAAACTGGAAGACAACGATAAGGACACGCCTCAACTAAAAGATGAAACTTTCAATAAACCTGATGAAAACGTCGTACCGAATGGTATGTTGATTTATGGAGAGCCAAACCCAAACTTTCATTCGCCAAATAACGTATACGAACAAGGTAACGGTGAATATCCTCAACCAGATGATTACAAAAGTAAAAAAACAAATAACAGTTATCCAGATAATATCGCACCTATAAAAAACGACATCTTGTCTTTAAACAATATACTTGGTGACAATTTGGTAAGTGACAATGATAAATCAAATCAGCAAATTAACGATGAAGACACGGCTCAATTAAATGAGAAAACTTCAAACAGTTCTGATGAAAATGTCATACCGAATGGTTTGGCATTTAAAGATCAGCCGAACCGAAACATTCAATTGTCAAACCAACAAGAAATTAGTACATATCCACAATATGGTAACAACACAAATAATGACGTGTCAAACGATCCTTTAGATGATATGAAACCAAAGGAAAATCCGTGGAAATCTTGGTTTGGATATGGCAATCTGTTTAGTGCTAAAGATGATTCTAAAATGGGTGTGAACGATAAACTTGAGTCTCCGTTATTAAAGCAACCTCTAGATAGTTCTAATAAAGAAGGTATACTCAATGGTTTACCAATTATTGAAAAGCCAGATCCTATCCAAACAAATAAAGTTATAATAAACAATAATCCAGTCGATATCGAACCTATGGAAAACGATGTCTTTTCTTTTAACGACATACTTAGTGATGATAATTTGTTTGGGGAAGATGATAAACAAGATATGGAAACAAACGACAAAGACGCGATAAAATTAAAGGAAGAGACTTTGGATAAACCGGATAGAAATGACAATTTAAATGACTTACCATTTAATAAAAGACCAATCCCGAACATTGAATCCCCAAATCATGTATATGATAATGATAACACTGCAGATTCGCAACCAGATAATCATGCAAGTAAGAACCCGATTAACAGTTATCCAGATGATATCGAACCTATGGAGAACGATGTCTTGTCTTTTAACGACATACTTAGTGATGATAATTTGTTTGGGGAAGATGATAAATCAGATGTGGAAATAAACGACAAAGACGCGATTAAATTAAAAGAGGACACTCTGGATAAACCGGATAGAAATGACAATATAAATGACTTACCATTTAATGAAGGGCCAATCCTGAACATTGAATCCCCAAATTATGTAAATAATAATGATAACACTGCAGATTCGCAACCAGATAGTTATGCAAGTAAGAACCCAATTAATAGTTATCCAGATGGTATCGAACCTATGGAGAACGATGTTTTGTCTTTTAACGACATACTTAGTGATGATAATTTGTTTGGGGAAGATGATAAATCAGATGTGGAAATAAACGACAAAGACGCGATTAAACTAAAGGAGGACACTCTGGATAAACCGAATAGAAATGACAATTTAAATGACTTACCATTTAATGAAAGGCCAATCCCGAACATTGAATCCCCAAATCTGGGATATGATAAAGATTATAGTGCAGATTCTCAACCAGATAATTATGCAAGTAAGAACCCGATTAACAGTTATCCAGATGATATCGAACCTATGGAGAACGATGTCTTGTCTTTTAACGACATACTTAGTGATGATAATTTGTTTGGGGAAGATGATAAATCAGATGTGGAAATAAACGACAAAGACGCGAATAAATTAAATGAGGACACTCTGGATAAACCGGATAGAAATGACAATTTAAATGACTTACCATTGAATGAAGGGACAATCCCGAACATTGAATCCCCAAATCATGTATATAATAATGATAACACTGCAGATTCTCAACCAGATAATTATGCAAGTAAGAACCCAATTAACAGTTATCCAGATGATATCGAACCTATGGAGAACGATGTCTTGTCTTTTAACGACATACTTAGTAATGATAATTTGTTTAGGGAAGATGATAAATCAAATCTGCAAATTAACGATGAAGACACGGCTCAATTAAATGAGAAAACTTCAAACAGTTCTGATGAAAATGTCATACCAAATGGTTTGGCATTTAATGAACAGCTGAACCAAAACAATGAATCCTCTAACTATGTTTCTAATGAAGATAATAAAAAAAATCCTCAATATGGTAGTAACAAAAATAATGACGTGTCAAACGATCCTTTAGGTGATATGAAACCAAAGGAAAATCCGTGGAAATCTTGGTTTGGATATGGCAATCTGTTTAGTGCTAAAGATGATTCTAAAATGGGTGTGAACGATAAACTTGAGTCTCCGTTATTAAAGCAACCTCTAGATAGTTCTAATAAAGAAGGTATACTCAATGGTTTACCAATTATTGAAAAGCCAGATCCTATCCAAACAAATAAAGTTATAATAAACAATAATCCAGGCGATATCGAACCTATGGAAAACGATGTCTTTTCTTTTAACGACATACTTAGTGATGATAATTTGTTTGGGGAAGATGATAAACAAGATATGGAAACAAACGACAAAGACGCGATAAAATTAAAGGAAGAGACTCTGGATAAATCGGATAGAAATGACAATATAAATGACTTACCATTTAATAAAAGACCAATCCCGAACATTGAATCCCCAAATCATGTATATGATAATGATAACACTGCAGATTCGCAACCAGATAATCATGCAAGTAAGAACCCGATTAACAGTTATCCAGATGATATCGAACCTATGGAGAACGATGTCTTGTCTTTTAACGACATACTTAGTGATGATAATTTGTTTGGGGAAGATGATAAATCAGATGTGGAAATAAACGAAAAAAACGCGATTAAATTAAATGAGGACACTCTGGATAAACCGGATAGAAATGACAATTTAAATGACTTACCATTGAATGAAGGGACAATCCCGAACATTGAATCCCCAAATCATGTATATAATAATGATAACACTGCAGATTCTCAACCAGATAATTATGCAAGTAAGAACCCAATTAACAGTTATCCAGATGATATCGAACCTATGGAGAACGATGTCTTGTCTTTTAACGACATACTTAGTGATGATAATTTGTTTGGGGAAGATGATAAATCAGATGTGGAAATAAACGAAAAAAACGCGATTAAATTAAATGAGGACACTCTGGATAAACCGGATAGAAATGACAATATAAATGACTTACCATTTAATGAAGGGCCAATCCTGAACATTGAATCCCCAAATTATGTAAATAATAATGATAACACTGCAGATTCGCAACCAGATAGTTATGCAAGTAAGAACCCAATTAATAGTTATCCAGATGGTATCGAACCTATGGAGAACGATGTTTTGTCTTTTAACGACATACTTAGTGATGATAATTTGTTTGGGGAAGATGATAAATCAGATGTGGAAATAAACGAAAAAAACGCGATTAAATTAAATGAGGACACTCTGGATAAACCGGATAGAAATGACAATTTAAATGACTTACCATTGAATGAAGGGACAATCCCGAACATTGAATCCCCAAATCATGTATATAATAATGATAACACTGCAGATTCTCAACCAGATAATTATGCAAGTAAGAACCCAATTAACAGTTATCCAGATGATATCGAACCTATGGAGAACGATGTCTTGTCTTTTAACGACATACTTAGTAATGATAATTTGTTTAGGGAAGATGATAAATCAAATCTGCAAATTAACGATGAAGACACGGCTCAATTAAATGAGAAAACTTCAAACAGTTCTGATGAAAATGTCATACCAAATGGTTTGGCATTTAATGAACAGCTGAACCAAAACAATGAATCCTTTAACTATGTTTCTAATGAAGATAATAAAAAAAATCCTCAATATGGTAGTAACAAAAATAATGACGTGTCAAACGATCCTTTAGGTGATATGAAACCAAAGGAAAATCCGTGGAAATCTTGGTTTGGATATGGCAATCTGTTTAGTGCTAAAGATGATTCTAAAATGGGTGTGAACGATAAACTTGAGTCTCCGTTATTAAAGCAACCTCTAGATAGTTCTAATAAAGAAGGTATACTCAATGGTTTACCAATTATTGAAAAGCCAGATCCTATCCAAACAAATAAAGTTATAATAAACAATAATCCAGGCGATATCGAACCTATGGAAAACGATGTCTTTTCTTTTAACGACATACTTAGTGATGATAATTTGTTTGGGGAAGATGATAAACAAGATATGGAAACAAACGACAAAGACGCGATAAAATTAAAGGAAGAGACTCTGGATAAATCGGATAGAAATGACAATATAAATGACTTACCATTTAATAAAAGACCAATCCCGAACATTGAATCCCCAAATCATGTATATGATAATGATAACACTGCAGATTCGCAACCAGATAATCATGCAAGTAAGAACCCGATTAACAGTTATCCAGATGATATCGAACCTATGGAGAACGATGTCTTGTCTTTTAACGACATACTTAGTGATGATAATTTGTTTGGGGAAGATGATAAATCAGATGTGGAAATAAACGAAAAAAACGCGATTAAATTAAATGAGGACACTCTGGATAAACCGGATAGAAATGACAATTTAAATGACTTACCATTTAATGAAGGGCCAATCCTGAACATTGAATCCCCAAATTATGTAAATAATAATGATAACACTGCAGATTCGCAACCAGATAGTTATGCAAGTAAGAACCCAATTAATAGTTATCCAGATGGTATCGAACCTATGGAGAACGATGTCTTGTCTTTTAACGACATACTTAGTGATGATAATTTGTTTGGGGAAGATGATAAATCAGATGTGGAAATAAACGACAAAGACGCGATTAAATTAAAAGAGGACACTCTGGATAATCCGGATAGAAATGACAATTTAAATGACTTACCATTTAATGAAAGGCCAATCCCGAACATTGAATCCCCAAATCTTGGATATGATAATGATTATAGTGCAGATTCTCAACCAGATAATTATGCAAGTAAGAACCCGATTAACAGTTATCCAGATGATATCGAACCTATGGAGAACGATGTCTTGTCTTTTAACGACATACTTAGTGATGATAATTTGTTTGGGGAAGATGATAAATCAGATGTGGAAATAAACGACAAAGACGCGAATAAATTAAAAGAGGACACTCTGGATAAACCGGATAGAAATGACAATATAAATGACTTACCATTTAATGAAGGGCCAATCCTGAACATTGAATCCCCAAATTATGTAAATAATAATGATAACACTGCAGATTCGCAACCAGATAGTTATGCAAGTAAGAACCCAATTAATAGTTATCCAGATGGTATCGAACCTATGGAGAACGATGTTTTGTCTTTTAACGACATACTTAGTGATGATAATTTGTTTGGGGAAGATGATAAATCAGATGTGGAAATAAACGACAAAGACGCGATTAAACTAAAGGAGGACACTCTGGATAAACCGAATAGAAATGACAATTTAAATGACTTACCATTTAATGAAAGGCCAATCCCGAACATTGAATCCCCAAATCTGGGATATGATAAAGATTATAGTGCAGATTCTCAACCAGATAATTATGCAAGTATGAACCCGATTAACAGTTATCCAGATGATATCGAACCTATGGAGAACGATGTCTTGTCTTTTAACGACATACTTAGTGATGATAATTTGTTTGGGGAAGATGATAAATCAAATCTGCAAATTAACGATGAAGACACGGCTCAATTAAATGAGAAAACTTCAAACAGTTCTGATGAAAATGATGAACAGCTGAACCAAAACAATGAATCCTCTAACTATGTTTCTAATGAAGATAGTAAAAAAAATCCTCAATATGGTATTAACAAAAATAATGACGTGTCAAACGATCCTTTAGATGATATAAAACCAAAGGAAAATCCGTGGAAATCTTGGTTTGGATATGGCAATCTGTTTAGTTCTAAAAATGATTCTAAAATGGGTGTGAACGATAAACTTGAGTCTCCGTTATTAAAGCAACCTCTAGATAGTTCTAATAAAGAAGGTATACTCAATGGTTTACCAATTATTGAAAAGCCAAATCCTATCCAAACAAATAAAGTTATAATAAACAATAATCCAGATGATATCGAACCTATGGAGAACGATGTCTTGTCTTTTAACGACATACTTAGTGATGATAATTTGTTTGGGGAAGATAATAAATCAGATGTGGTAATAAACGACAAAGACGCGATTAAATTAAAAGAGGACACTCTGGATAAACCGGATAGAAATGACAATATAAATGACTTACCATTGAATGAAGGGCCAATCCCGAACATTGAACCCCCAAATCATGTATATTATAATGATAACACTGCAGATTCTCAACCAGATAATTATGCAAGTAAGAACCCGATTAACAGTTATCCAGATGATATCGAACCTATGGAGAACGATGTCTTGTCTTTTAACGACATACTTAACATAAGGCCTAATATTCAACCGCATATTATTAAAAAAAAACCTAAAATTGATCAACCTATTGATGGTACAGAAAACAATGGTTTCAACTTAAACCTAAATTCAGACAATATTGGCGACATTAATAATCAATTGAATGCTAAAAACTCAACCAAACTATATAAACCGGATAGTAATATTAATATAATTAGTGATATCAAAAAACCGGATCCAAACCACATAAACTATTCTAACAAAGGATTTTATTCAGCAGAAATAGTTGAGAAACCAAAAAAAAAAGGTGCAACAAAAAATAATAACAGTTTAGATTTACATTCAACACAAGATGTTTCGGAATTTAAAAAAAAACCAAAATCTCGTCAAAAACCTACAAAATTCTATGACAGTTCTCCAGAAGATGACGTGTCAAGTTTGCAAGTTAAGAAAAATAAAAAAACGGCTTCCGGTACATACGAAAATCCCAATTACACTATTGTTTTACCAAATACTCCTCCTGTAATAAATATCAGCCCTGAAGCAACACCGGTACCTTCAAATCTGGATTCTATTTTTAATTCATCTATCCTTGATAAATATGACTTGTATCCTAAAGATTTTTGGAAATTTATGCTTCAGAACCCAAATATATATAACCAAAGTAAAAATAGTCATCTTAATCAAAATAGTAATGAATTACCAACACATAAATTGAAAAATCCAATTGGAGACGGTAATAAAAATAATCCCAATATAAATACCGTTGACATTTTCGATGGTACTAATCCTGAACTCCATAACATCAAAAAATCAGACGGTACATTTAGACCTTTTACGCCGAACCGTTACAATAATGACCTTCCTGCTCAAAGAAAATCAAATAAGGGTAAAACAAATTATTTTAATATAAATACGTATTTGAGTCAACCTACACCAACAGACAAAAATAGTGTTAATAGCATACCACCCGTCGACTCTAGTACTAATTTGCTAGATAAAAGCCAAGACAGTATACAGAACTATGGTTCAAAAAATAACAAAGCCAATTCAAATGCAGCTGATGATGACAGTAAAACAATGAAGAATATGAACCAAAGTAATGATCAAAATCAGTTGTATGACAGCTTTTTTAAGGCTTTAACCGATAGACTGTTAAATCATATCGACACGGCCATAGACTCTAAATTATCCCAACAAGGCGATAATATTAGAAACAATCAAAAGCCAGACGATAAAAACGAAGACAGCTCTAAGGATTATCAAACAGAACCCCAAACATTAAAAAATATGAAATCGTCTCACAATAAAAAAGTAATTTCGAAGAACAAAATAGCTAGTAAAGTTGACAGGGAATCTGAAGAGAACAGTGCTAGTAGCGACGAATACGCTGCTGACAATAATATTAAAAGAAAAGCAAAAAAAACAAAGAAAACTAAAAAACTTGTTAGCAGTGATGAGAGTGACATAGACGAATCGGTTGAAGAGGTATACAAAAAAAAGAAAACTAAAAATAATACCGGCAAAAGTGGAAAAACTAAAGTTGTCAAAAAGAAAACTACAAAAAGTAAAAACTCAAAAAAAAAGAATTCACCATCCTCAAAGAGAAAAAATGTTAAATCTAAGAAAAGTAAAGTGTCAACGAAAAAAAAAACTACCAAGTCTAAGAAAAAATCAAACAGCGTAAAGTCGACCAAAGGAAAATCCAACAAGACTAAAAAAGTAAAAAAGAAGAGAAGCTCCATTAGAAAAAAATCGAAAAACAATAAAATAGGTTCAAAGGGTCAAAAGAAAAAAACTAACAAAAACGTGGTAAAAAAAAAAAAAGTCACATACTATGTCGATGAAGATGTATCATCGCCATATAGCAAAGGAAATACTTATGCTCTCAGTGGGAAAAACGGGATTACGCGTTACGTGGTAAGAGAGGCTCCTAAGACGGAAATACCGAAATATGTAATAAAAAAACCAACTTGCATCGAATGTGAGAAGAAATCGCATCATCATAAATGCAGTCATGCTAAAAATAAACATCGCAATAAGCCGGTGAGATCGATTTTCACCATTTGAAAAATTGTACTTAAAATATTTACTTGTTTGATTATCGCATTTTAGCTCTATTTTGTTTTGGCTCTCCAAAACAATATGAGCAAATTCATTTTTCCAGAAAGAAAAATCATAAAGTTCTTTAATGTCTATTGACCATACATATTATGTTACAACAATCATACTATGTCTTATAACAATGGTGTTCTCTTAATTTTAATTATCTTACGAACCTTGTGTCCGAGAGTGGTAATAACAGCTGTTGTATAAGTGTTTTTCGGTCACTGACTTTCCTCTCTACATGCTCGAGTCCAAACTAGTTTGTTCAGTATTAGGGTGGTTGACAACGTATACCTAACTCGCAAATCCAAACACCATTTTCCATTTTACCACAATTATATAAATCCTGACAGTTTAGTTTATCTTGACCCTTTTCCGACATCACACTACATGGTATACGCCAAGTTAAGGGGTTAAAAATACTGAATCAGTGTTACCGATATTAGATGTAGCTAAATTCGTACACAGTGTTTTGTCCTTTACTAGACTAAATTTATGTAGGTATGCAATTTAAGGGTCAAGATATACTAGGCGGGCTACAGTAATGCACTACTCAGATTTTTAGATATACAATTGTCATGTCTTTATCTTATTTTTATGTATTTATGTAATTTTGCGATATATCCGTTTTAGTATGCTCTACGCGTTTTACTGTACACAAAAATATGATAATTAATTTTTAAAAGAAATAGACAATAAGTAGTTTTTAGTTACCAATAATACTAGTTACACAATTTTCCATTGATTAACGAGAATTTGTCTAATTTATAGGATGATCCAGTTTACATGAATTATGGATATGGCTACAGTTATTGGTGATCAAACAGGTAAAATATACTCTGGGGCGGACTAAGTATTAAGAGGTTACATTATCCTAGTTAAATGATCTCATAAAGAAAGATAAAAAAAAACATTACAGGAACAGTTATAAAATTTTAACTTTGATACAACATATAACGTATTACACAATTTTCATCGTGGACTATGTTATGTGGTTATGTCGACCTAAACTTTACACCAATAATTAGATATGATAATAAAAGTTAAATTATTTAAAGTAAGGTTTTAGACAATTCGATTTTAAAACCTAACTCAAATTATCTGGACATTTTGCAATTAAAAATTATACAATTAAATTTGGTTTATTTTTACTGGGTTTTATATCAAAATAAATGCAGGTCTTTCAACAAACCTTTAATTGCGGTTCATGATATAAGAACTCATATTACATCTCACACTTGAATATACTTAGTAATATTTTTAAATATTAAAACTCAAAATCGTTAAAGTTGCAAGCTTTGTGAATACTTATAACAGTTAACGAAATGATAGTCATTTTTCAAATACTAAAATGTTATTTAAAAAATCTATTATTAATCGTCTTTAGTATAGTACTGTATACGTTAAAGAATAAATTAATTAATACATCTTTGTTTTTCAGGTGACAGAAACGCCACGCCACAGAAAGACGGTTAAAAAGTGTTTCAATAACATGTTATTAGTATAATATTTAGATAGTAAATATTATTAGCACAGTTTTTGGAAAGATGTAGTACATACCAGTAGCTAAATTAGTATTAATTATTAGTATACGGATCAATACTGAAAAGTGTAACATATTTAAATAAAATGCCGATAAGGTGATAACATATTATGTCTACAAATATTTGGCTAAAATCAAATTTGCTAGGAAAAATTTGCAGATCTACGGTCGCAAAAATATTTTGTCTTAAATAGAAACAGTGTGTTTTTTTATCCAAAAACTGTTCTCATCAAAACTAACAACTTTTCTAAAAAAATACACAATATCATTAAAAAGTAGTTTATATTGATGTTTATTGGGTAATTATTTTTACCATCATCAGCTATAGATTCGAATGGAAGCATTTTTGTTATTTAAATTGTATTATCACATTTAGTCTTAATATTACCTACATATAGAAATGAGTCTTTCCCGGCCCCTTATGTCTCGTCTTGTGTGTGCTGTTTTTTTTAATTTGGGGGGAGGCATGTAGGGCATTTGAACGTTTAAAATGACCACTTATTTAGAATGGTATTCGTCCACTTGACATCTCGTCTATTTAATTTTTAACCGCATCCGCCCGGTTAATAAAAAATACACCTCTGTACAACAAGCTGAATGACACAGATTAAATAGAATTTATTTATTGAAAAAACTCATGGGCTCATAAAAATTAATTTAAATGCTAGTTATATTTGATAATAGCGCTCTTCTCGTTTAGTCTGAACTCATTCTCCGCGTATACAGACCTGTCAGGACCACTTTTCCAACTACTAAGAAAGTTAATTTAACTTTAACTTATTTGTTTTATGCTTGTAAATAAGGGTACGCAAACGATTGGCAATTTTTATTATTGTTCTATTCAAGTTATTATTCAATAACAATATTATAGATTCGAATACTTTATATTGATTATTAATGAATAACAAAATACAGCTGGAGTCAAGATATACAAGCTCGGTGATTATTGTAAGTTTCCTTAATATATTTTTCTTAAGAAAAAATGTTATACTTAATATAGAAAAAGAACATATTTTAGAACACATTTGGGAGGGGGTAGTTTGTCAAAGAATACAATAGCCCTTCTTATGACCTTTGACACATAATACTTTCACTTACAGTATTCAACAAAAATTACATAACAAAATAAAAGTAAAATAAAACTTAAGTTAAACCAATTGTTACAAAAAACTGTTTTTATTTATAAATTAATTAATTTTTATTTTGAAAGGAAAATTTAAGTATTTTCAACTTTTGATCTAATGGAATACACATTTTATTACAATGTCTAATCTTAAGATTTGCTACATTAAGTGGTTGAAAAGTAATGTTGGGTCCGGAATATAAATAGGTAGAAAATTTTAAAAAACAGCATTGTAAGATTAGTTACCTTCTCAGCTCCGCATCGAAGCTAATAATATGTTGTACAATAAAAATTTGAATACCGTCCGAAAATTTAGTCGATCTGCGGTCTTGCTTACCTTAGCTATAATAGAAATATAAATATTATTAAAATGCACGTAGAAATTTTTGTAAATAACGTTGTACTATTTACTTTGTTCAAAAAAAAAAATTAAATTAAAAAAAAATTGATAGTTCTGAGAAGTGAAAATATCAGTATCGCGGTACTGGATAATTTGATAAGATTAATTACTGAGAGCTCTTCAATTAGAGATAACCGGTACTGCAATTATGAGTTACCGTTTATCGTGACAGCTATTGCACCATAAAAAAACAACACCCACGAAGAACAAAATTAATAAAACTATATAATAATACTTGACCGTGTTCGAACGCATGCTAGCTTTGGCTGCTGCTGAAGTTCTGTAAATCAGTTTTTCACTGGACAATCGTTGACCATTCACCATAGTGGCTAATACGTGGATATTGTATACCATGCCGTCTGCCAGGTTCACAACTAAGCGTAAAACAATTGGAATATTTTAATGTGATTTGTATTTATTTACTAACAAATAACATGACTCATAAAGCAACAGATTTCCGAGTCCAATTCTGTCAAATTCTACTTTACGGCCCACGAGTATGTGGGAATGGGGTTTGGGGATCTATAAACCACGTTAAAGGTCCGGAAGGGATTAATTCTTAGTATGTTTAAAAAAATTGTTTTAATATATTTTGATTGTGATTAGGTTAATAAACGATTTTTTCTTTATAAATGAATTATGAAAACCGAAATATACTAATTAATATACCTAATTAGATATTAACATAAAAAATGTGTTCTTTATTTACGAAGGTCCCTTTAGTAAAAATAAAATTTTAGGAGAGAATACGCTGTTAGCAAGCAATGGGGAAAAAGAAACGATCCAAAACTACCAGGCAAAAAGTTTCAAAAAAAGCCAACTACCAACTCGACACGGTTTCCGAAACTTTGCAAAAGGAAATTAATGATTTCATTGACAGTTTAATGGTGGAACTAGTAAGTGCGGACGGTATGGAGTTGTCATCGGATGAAGACTGTGTAGCTGAGGAACAACATAATACTACATTAAATCCAATAGTAAATTCCCAATTAGCAAATCCTAGTCATGACCAGACACATTTGAATGACGGGTTCACAGTCGAGAAGAGAATAAAAGAAGAAAATCCAAAACAAATTAAACCAGCGAATGCGGTAGTCCGAAAGAAATTCCACGTGGAACGCCGGACTCAAGTCCGAATTACTAGAACCACCATGAATCAAGATTCGAAAATATCTCAATTTATCCAGCCAGTTACTCACAAACGAGGATTAGGATACAAAACAATGGTCCGTAAGGTGTGCCGGTCCATTCCTAGAATTAAGGGTCCAGGAGCAGCCCGCCGAAAACGGGAAACGGTAAAGGAAATCCTCAGATCTAATGGATATACCATTCCAAGCATGTCGAAGTTCAAAAAAATGGTATATCTGTATGGGCCCAAACGAGGGGTAACGATTCAATGCTAATTTACATGAATTTCAATATAAAAGGAGATGATAGTTGACAATAGCTTTTACTATCCAGTTGATGAGCTGTCTACGACCTACGTCAATGCAGGTTATTTGTAACCAGACATGTAGTAATTATACAATTTTTGAGGCACTTCTAAAAAATGTCAAGATATGTATAATTTTCTGATTTTCTAAGATTTACTAACCTCACATTGATAACGCTAAAACTATTGATTTCCTCAGTTGAAAATCCATTAAATTTAAAATTTTCCTATGGTACTTTGAAACCAAATTCAGTAAAAAAAATATTATTTTAAATAATTAAAAAAAAACAAAAATTGGGAAACTTTTCTATAATAGTAAAACTTTCAAGATTTCTTATACAACCTAACTAGTAGCCAAAATGGCCGAATAAATGGGTAAGGATCGAATAAAATTGTCTTTATGTTATTAATTTCAAAAATCAGTATTATAATAAAGAAATTTTATTTAAAAAGTAGGGGAGATTACACATATATTTGTGTCATAGACGTAAACGTGGTCCAAATCGATATTCACTAGGCTTGACTTACACCCCTCCCCCTCACATTAACCCTGATTTAGGGATGCCTTTATAACCCTACCAACCCAGACAGTCACAAGACTACATTATTTTACTATCATACATTCATGTATTTTTATTTTTTTTCCTAGAAATAAATTTTATTTAAAATATCAATAAAAATATTTGTTATTTAAATCTAAAAACAAACTCGTGTTCATTATTTATGAATCATTATATTTATATTATTATTTATAAATGTATTACATTATTATATAATAATTGTTTTATCTAGTTATAAGTTATCTTATGGGACATTATACTAAAAAGAGCAAAACGCTGTTCCTCGCTTTGAAAAGTTTTGCAGCATTATGGCAGGTTCTATTATCTTTCTAAAGGTAAGACATTTTTTATAATTTGTTTCTTTGATTATTAACAACTAAATTTCATAAAGCAGAGTAAAAACTATATATTTTTTTTTCGTTGAGAAAAATTAAGTTAATCTATCAATTATTTTTTTAAAAAAATAATTGGTTGTAGAAATAATATAATTTCAAAGATAAGATTTTTCAATAATTGGTAAATGTTATATTTACTGAACGCCCAGGGTTATTTTTTCTTACAACATAATGTATACTAATTTTGTTTAAATCAGTTGCATATACCCACATATATTTTTAAAGTTAATTTAATTTTGTTTTAAGCATCTAGATATAATTTATTAAAATTGTAATTCTTATTTTTAACTCGAATACAAATATTATTTAAATTTATTTTAAACAAATAGTTAATGCTTGTAAAAACCTTATTGTTGGTTAAGCGTACGGATGTGTTAAGTACAATTTCAAGTTTTTAATAAACTTTTAATTAATTATAATTAGTAAATTAATTAATACTCGTAAGTAAGTTAGTGAATTTTGAAAATAAAAAGGGTGATTAATGATTATAGTTTTATACTAGGTATATTATAATGTTGTTGGATGACAAATAATGTTTTTGCCAATATTTATAAAAAAAAAATATAATATAATAACAATAACAATAAATATTATACTTTTAGCTAATATCTGGACGATGAATTGACGGTGTGTGATAAATTTATGATGTCTTGAGAGGGAAATAATATATTGTCAGGCCGCACCCAAAATACGTTATTGCATAGTGCATACAATAAATACAAAATCGGCTAATAAGAAACGTGTTATCGTTGTCAGTATAGGAAACATTGATATTGTAGACACATTAAACATTAATTACTAATTATGACTATTGTTTATTTATTGGATTATTGCATTGACCTTATACTATAATTATAATATTATAATTAAATTTTAAGTATATAAAAAAATAAAATACAACAAGGTCTATGAGTGTTTGGTTAAAGTGGTGCTATCTCTAACGAATACATTGATAAGACTGATACACGATAAGACGTAACGATCGGTTTATTTTGTTATTGTATCGCATTTGTATTTTTGAAGTAACATAATATTTCAGCCATAAAAAGAAAGTAGGTACTGTTTGCAAATCTGTCTAATCATTTGTTCATTTTGCTGGGGTTTGTCTAGTCCGGCCCCGTTCACAATTTGTGAAATGTTTTGTATTGTTTTAATATTATATATATTTATCAAAATTTAAACAATTCAACCTATCAAAATTTTTTTGAAATCATAAATTATATTATCAAAATTAATTGTGTTGTGTTTGTTTTTATTTAATATAACCAATGATTATAAATGATACAACATAATTGATTAATAACTTATTAAACTATTAGCTGTTAAACGAATGTTTGAAGCCAAGATTTCCTAAAATTATATCAATTATTTGAATTTGAATATTTTCAGAACTCTGTTTGTAATCACTAACCTAAACAACTTAAGTGCAATAAAAAGTATGGATGACAATATTTATATCCTGAGAGAATTCAATGAAAAATATCCTATCTGTCAATGGTCTCAATTTCAACAAATGGGGCCTGATCATCAGCCTACATTTATTGTTGAATTGACGGTAGATAATCATAAATATGTGGGCAAAGGACAATCCAAAAAAAGAGCCAAATTAAATGCCATAATCGAATCTCAGTTAATCACTACAAGAATGGATTCAATTTCGGTACATATTGAAAATGGCGAACAAAGTTTAAAAAAAAAAAGAACATGGTCAGAGACATTTGAAGACAATACTGTTTTGAAGAAATCGTCACCAAATATTCAAGCAGTACCAAAATCAGCTATATCTGTTCTTCACGAGATGTATCCTGGAGAAAAATTGAAATTTGTAAAAGAAGAGTCGCATGGTATATTAGAAACTATGAGTGTTACTATCAGTGGCTGTAAATTTGTTGGATATGGACAAAACATAAAAGAAGCAAAAGAAATTGCAAGCCGTAATGCGTTAAAAGCTATATTTGCGTCTCAGCCTTCAAACGAAAGATTCAAAGACGTTATAGAAATGTTGCAAACCGATTACGAGCAAGCGAAAATCATTGACTATTTTGCCACCATAACAGATATAACTTATCAAAATTTGCAGTTTGATGACGTTAAACATAAAGAATATTGTGTTGTAGCCAGTATGATTAAGGTATAAAAAACATAAGTAATAATTTTTCATTATGCCATTTCAGGGATTGAAAATGTTTTCAGGTTAAATTTTTTACTTCTTATTATAACTAACAAACATTGATTAAAATTATTAAGAGTATGACAATTTAATATATACATATTAATGAGAAGTTATGCCTTTTGAAGCAATATAAACGTTTTGTTTCAGGAAATTTATTTTATATTTACTTATTTATTTATTTTTGTTGGAGTTATAACAAATTGTATACATTTTAGAAAACGACTTTTTCTTTTACAGATGACCAAAAATATTTTAGATACTGCAGAAGTAGTTTGTCTGGCTACTGGTACAAAATGTATGTCAGGTGATAACTTAAGTCTAAGTGGTGAAACATTGCATGATTGCCATGCTGAAGTGTTGAGTCGCAGATGTCTTATGAAGTACTTCTACAACCAATTAAATGCATTTTTCAGTTCAAAACCATCAATTTTTGTGTTTAACCATGAAACTAATCTGTTAAAGTTATCGGAAGAAGTTAGTTTTCATTTATATATAAACACAGCTCCATGTGGGGATGCTAGAATATTTAGCTTCTCTGACACAGAAAACCATCCAAACAGATTGAATCGCGGTTTGTTACGATCAAAAATTGAAAACGGAGCTGGTACGGTTTCTGTCTTTGGCCGAGAAATACAAACATATGACGGAATTGCTCAAGGGGAACGTCTGATTACTATGTCATGTTCTGATAAATTGACCCGTTGGAATGTTCTGGGACTGCAAGGCAATTTATTGGCAAATTTTATTGAACCTGTTTACTTAGAGTCAATATCCATTGGCAGTGTATTTAACGAGGAACACATTACTCGAACAATGTACGGCCGCATTGATAACGCTTTTGCTGAACTACCAGAATTGTACAAGTGAGTACATTTATTATTATGTAATACTGTGAAACTTAAACTAGCGGACACTACTTATAGGAAATGGAAAAATGCCCATTATTGAGATAGTAGTAGTATATATTCAATAGTATAGTCATAAGTGTATGCTGCATGTCTCTACTTCTAATAAAAAATGTTATTAGAAATTATTGATTGCATGATCACCTATTTTACTTTTTTAATAATAACCACATTTGTATTTATCTGATTTTAAATTTATAATTATTTAATCTAAAAAACTTCAGCAACACTTGTGGTTATATATTATAAAATAATTAAATATTCATATAAATCTTTAACCACAAATAGAGCTATAGAGGATTATTTTTGTGGTAAAGAGTTTATTTAAATATTTTATTATTTTACATTAAATTACTTGTAGTAAATAAAAATAAGCATGTCATTGTTATGTTATTATTAGTTACATTATGATTTATGACTTATTAAGGGAATATAATTTTATCTAGTTTAAAATAAATAACAAACAAATTGTGTTTACCACATTGGTTATAATAATTAATTTTTTTCAAAATCTTTATATTTTTACATAATTGAAAAAAAAATATTGCCCATATTTTAAAAATTTTATATTTCTGTAACGGGTTGTTGAACATTTATGAAAAAATTAGGGAACTTTTTTATCTGTACATACAATTAGTACAAAAAAAAAAATTTAGAAAAACAAGATACAAACATCACAAATGATACAATTAAAAAAAAAACCTATGTGCAGTGTGGTTTCAAAACAAATTTGGTTTTTTTTTATGTTTATACAAAATTAGATGACTAATTGATATTTTTTATCCATATTACTAAATTTACTTTTATTTTTTTCATTTAGAAACTTTAAGACCTGTGTTACTAATGAGCACATTTGTTTTAATCCCTAGATTTAGTTTTATTGTTACTGAGGAAAATTAATAATATAATAAAAAAATATAAGTACTGTATTATATTTGCAGATTGCAGAAACCAAAGCTACGCGGTTACAGTATCCTACCTCGTAGACATAATTCTGCAACACCGTATTGTATTAATTGGATTAAAGATGAAAATTTAGAAGTACTTAAAGGAAATACTGGTCGAACAGTGAAAAACGAATTGTCTAGACTTTGTAAAAGTAAGCTTGGTGAAGATTTTTTGCACTTGAATCGAATCACTAACTATGCTCATATGGCACAATTAAAATCAATCAAAAAAATTTCTTATGATAAGTTAAAAAGTAACAATAAAACTTATGAAAGTGTTAAGCAATTGTTGTTATGTACTTTTATGTCATACAATTATGGTATTTGGGTAAAAAAACCAGAAGAAATGAAAACATTTGAATTCAGTATTTAAAACTTAAGATAATGTCTAAAAGTGTTCAAAATAATTTGGCTGATTTTGTGTTGTTATAGTTCACTGTATAATTATATTAGAGAATAATGTTTCATTTTAACTAAAAAAAAAAATCTCATGCAATTACTTCTTAAAAATTGACTTGGGTATAGTTTATGTTTTTTTAATTTTCCTGTTATGTTAATATTTATTACAAGTTTGTGTCTACAGTTTTATTTATGTTAAATATTTAGTATAAGGTTATTTTTGTATTTACATAGAATAAGTAATTTAATTAAAATGATATTTAAAAGTTATTTTTTAGTGAATGAACCTAATTTAATACTGTTGTGTTGTTATTACATTTCTAAGAGGACATTATTTTTTATAGAAATTAACTATTTTTTTTTTTTTTATGAGACCTTATTTATTTGTATTTAGTATTAATATCTGTATTTTGATTTTGATCCTTTTTTCATATCAACATTAGATGTAAAACGTTATTTAAACAATTATTTGTACTCATATAACACAAATTGATTATAATCAATTTTAAAGTACAAATTTGAAAAATAATGATCTTATGTATTTATTAAGTTATAATATTATTGTACTGTTACATGTAAATGTATTATTGATATAAGATTTTAAAATTGTTGAGAGTGTATATTTTTAAATTTTGTAGTATGGTAATAATGTATTTCAAATTTCAATATTATATCAATAGATACCAATTGCATTGTACAAATTTAACCTCGTTACACCACTACTAAAATAGTATTGTACTATTAAGGTTTTATTGTTATTTATAATTAAAATATTCGTCAATAAACTGTATATAAAATAAGGGTAAACACTAGTAGTTCAAAAAATCCACAAAGCATTTGTAAAGTAATAAAAGTAATTCCGGATAATTTGAAGCTCTATTTTTTACTCACTCAATTATTTTTATACCTACTATACACATAATTTTTCTACTTAACATTTTTATTTTTTATTTAATTTAATTGCTTATAATAATAAATTAAACAGTTTAAAAAATAAAAAACAAAATGTATAAGTGTGTTTAATTTATTGTGAAAATGTACGAATATTTTTAATCAAATAGCTTATTATAAAATTACTTATTTTGTATTATTTGTTGGCATGTAAATTTATATAGCGATAAAGTAAGGTCGTTTGCTTTAGAATTAAATTGTTAAGTATCGTTTTTATAATTGCAAATTAAATGTATAAATAAAAAGTAAGTTGTGAAGAATTTTTGTGTATTAAGACTAATATATTATGTTTCATATTTTATTATTTCTCAAACATATTGTTTTATCATCACCTTGCATAAACTTTCTCAATTATTGTACTAAATAATATGCTGTCTTACAATAATTATATCCATTTGGTCTTACCTATATAATGTCTGTTATTTTTCGTCGTCGCTGAACCAATTTCTTGGCTGTCATTCGCATCATACCATTTGATATCGTAGTGCTTAACCTGAAGGTTATCTACCGACGGAGTGGTCCACGATATATTGTAACTGTCGTTATCGCCTTGTATACGATTCACCCAAACAGTAAATGGATCTTTGGTGATCTCCGTTTTATATATTTGCGGCATCCAATCCTCTGGCCCTGCTGTAATGTTTTACATTAATAAAAGTAGTAAATTTGCATAAACCAAAATTACAATGTAAATTTTATATTTCTTTCAAAATTATACACTAGATACTAGTACGCGTTCAGTAACTATTAAAAAAGTTTTATTAAAACTCTTTTACAAGAATGTAAAATTGAATTATAAGAGTGACACGTTCAAGAACTTATTAAACAAAATAAGATATTCTAGGAACTTAACCTGTTGGTCTTATGACGGTAGACTTGCTAAATAAAGATTCTCTGTTATCGTTTTGACAGGATACCATAATTTCGTATTCCTTAGAAATGTTGAGCCTTGACAAAATCGCTTTACCGTCATTCGAAGTCGCCGCTATAATCCAATTTGGCGAATTTAGCTCTCTGCTCCTGTGGTTTATGTGAAGATAATATATGATATATAAAATTGTTGGTATGTATTGGAAAATTGCAATTCAAAAAAGGTCGTTTGTGCTGTAAGTAATATTTAATGTATTTATATAGGTATATAAATGAAAAGTATTGAGTACCAAAAAGGTACAAATGAAAGTTTTTATGTCATTCATATTATTAGTCAATGGACCTATCCGTAGTGGTTCTATAATTTTTGGAAACGATTTTGATGAAAACTATGGTACATAAGAAACATCGAAGGTATAAATATGCCATAATTTTAAACTGAAAAATATGTGAATTTGTTAGGTATTTTTTTTCGATTTTTAGGGGAAGGGCTGAATTTTAGGTATGATTTCTGATTTTTGACTTGCTACATGAAGAAATCGGTTTAGCTGTATAGGAAACATAACGGATAAAGACACAAAAATACAAATAAAAACATCATTGAAAAAATATCTACATCGAGACTAAAAATAATTATTTCACTTCGACACTTTTTAGTTTTTATAGTTTTAAAGAAAATTTGTTTGTAGTTGAATTATATTATTATAGACTTACTATTACCTTATAAGGGCGTGGGCTAAACGGTTCTCTTTTAATCTTTTTATAATTTATATGCCTTTCGGGAGTAGTAATTTTGAATGAGGGAGCACACATAATTGTTGGGCACACTACCGGCTAAAACTACTCAGTTTCTCAAAACGTGCATCTCCGATTTAATAAAATAAATAGATTTAATAAACACTACAGTTTTTTATTGTAGGTACAATGACAAAAATAGTGTAGTGTGATGCCCTCGTTTGTATGAATCTTTATGAAAATCTATTATCTAAGTGTTCATAATGCAATATAGGTAACTAACTAACCACACAGTACAGTCCGAGTACGGTTGTTTCCAATAGGCGACCATGTTTTTGTCGGTGGAATTTACCAGTAAATCGAATTGCTTGTGTCGCATTAGGCTTTCTTCGACTATGAGTTCGGTTTCTACTGAAATTGTGGCCGCTATGTTCGACGCCACACACCTGTAGATTCCTCTGTCTTCGTACCTCAGGTCGATCAGAGTCAGATTGCCACCATGTAAACTCACACGAGGATTGAACAGACTTTTGCCATTTTCCTAGAACGCAATGTTATAATGGCATTTGCTGCTAAACACGTTACATAGTGGGTCTCGTATGAAAAAATTGAATACAGTAATGTTTTCAAAATGTATTTGCTCAAACGTTTATTTTCTCATCAATTCAATCGTGCATCATTATAAGATACAAATTCGTGTTATTATTAGGTGTACTGAACTAAAAAAGTTTCGAAACATTCAAAATTCACAAATCTAATTAATTTAATTTTTTTACATAGTTTAAATCGGCTGAATTTCAATTTGAAACCTAAAATTTTCTTTATGATGTTTATTTGATTTTTTTAATAGTTTCCAAAATTGTAAGCAACATACAAAATACAAACCAGAGTACTTTACTCATTTATGAATTATGACCAATTTTTTATTTAAATGTAATTTAACATTTTGACCACATTTTTAAGCATATGTCACAGGTTTTTTTATGATTTCTTATGTTTTCTCGAAAAGGTCATTCTGTCTTATGTAAACCGTTATTAGTACTCAAATTAAAAAATAATAAGACTCATCTACCTAGTGTTTTATATAATGAAAGGAAAAAGTAAAAATGTATTAAGAACATCGTTTTTTAGGTTTAGGAACTACCATATTAAAGATAGCTAAGGGTTTTTTGTTTTTTTTTTATAAACTTAATGGTTACATATTAATTAATTTATAAGTGTACATCATTAATCACAAGTAATCTGGGCTTCACTAACACTGAAAGAATTCGTATAGAGGTCCAGAGAACATGATGTACTAATTGTTTTAATGAATTTAAGCGCTTTAAATTCTGTACTCGGGTGATGAAAAGACAAAAATTAGTTGATTTTATTCTGACTTAGCAAAAAAAATAAAGGGGGACTAAGAAAGGGGTTGCCTTAGCACCCTAGTATCTCATTTCAATTTGCCCTTGGTAAAAAAAAAACAATGAAAAACTTTTACAATAAACGCTATGATCAATTATAATTTGTGTATAACCAATTAGGTATACCTTTTGCCAAACGATTGCCGGATCTCTGTGTAGATTTTCGGCCGCACAAGGCATAGTCACGTTGTCACCAACTTTACGAAAGTACAATACTTTAGGGACAATCACAAATTTTGGGGGTCTTTGAACGATGACTTCCATCGGAGTAGACGGACCTTCGGTTCCCAAATCATTGAATGGCGTGCAGGTGTATGTACCTTCGTGTTCTTCTCCAACCTGTGGGACGTGGATTGTGATAGAAAGTTAAGCTAAGGCTATAAAAAAAAAAATTCCTAACTCCTCAAAAAACACTGTTAAAAAAAATGATGTGATAAATTAAAGGTTTTTATAGAAACTTTTTTTTTGTATTATAAAAGTTTAAAATATAACTTTTATGTTTTAGTTATTAATTCAAAGTTCTGCTTTTATTTATTATAACTCTATACTGTTTCCGTTACTATTTTGTTTATAGAAAGGTGAAATCGATGTTTTAGTCTCTTGGTACTGTTTGCATAACAGTATTATATACAGGAGCAATTTTTTTTTTCTTTAGAGGAGGCTATTATATTTTTTTTAGGATTTTCCTTATACTATAGACTACTAGAGGTTATAATTTAAAAATCACTCACGCTGTTGAAATAAAGAGATCCGTTTAGTTCGTGGTAAACCCCATGTACGTTGTACGTGTCGAAAAGAAAACCGTCTTTCTCCCATCTGATCTTTGTTAGTGGCGGATTGGAATGGAAATGACAGTCCAGGTTGCCTGGCTTACTGTACGCCAAAAACACTTTGGCCGGTGCATAAACTATTTTCGCTTTATCTACACAATTATATTATATTTATAATACGATATTCTTAGCGCAGTATTGTCGATGGTTAAAAGGAAGACTGTCTATATGTCAGATCAGGCGGCAAAAAACCAGTTAAAAAAAAAAGAAACACTACGATTTAGCTATTTTTTTGGGGGGGTTAATCTAAAAAAAAGTGTAGTTACCACATGGTTAAGGCAATGGACAATAAATTAAAAATATATAATAGAATTTTTTCGTTAAATTTCCGAATTTTCTCGGTTTTTTTTTTTACTAATTTTACTTATAAATAATTAACTACTATAGAATAACCGAAGTTAAATATTATGGATTACTGCTGGATTTGTTTTTAAATAATGTGGTTTTTTTTTTGTTGTCAACTCTGATTCACTCACACTGGACGTTGAGATAAGCGCCGGCCAACAGAGTTCCTTTGCCCGAGGCTATGCGACAAGAGTACAATCCATTATCTTTTAGCTGTGCATCGTAAATGTCCAGAGAACCTTCAGGAGCTATGTGAAATCTGCTTTTCAAGTAGGGCAAGTCTGCCAAAGGTATGCCGTCTTTATACCATTGGACTATGGACTCGGGATCTTCTTTAACGCAAGTGAAATGGACAGAATCGTGTTCCATTCGAGTCTGATTAATTGGCGGAATACTCATAATATCTCCACCTTATCAACATTTAAATTTTGTTAAGTTAATAAATTAACATCTTTGTCCACTGGTTAAATAGTGATATCTCAAGAATGTATAAAACCGTACCAACCAAAAATTAAAAAAATAAAATTTCAACAACCATCGGCAACAGATATAAAAATCATTTGATACGTTTATTGATTTGCATTTTTGGCTATTCAAGAATATTTCAGTGTATTAAATATTTTTATGATTTTTTTATATCTTCGTGTTATCAGAATGACGCATATGTATATATTTTTCCCGGTTTTAAAATTTTTAAGGCCCCCAAATTAGCAGAGCTTATGCAAGGTGTTTCTGAAAATTTATTTTAATTAAACTTATTACAATACTAAACAGTATTCTGTTATTGCAATGCAATATTATTCAACATTAATTGAAATGACAATTATTGTCACATGTTAGTAAATCCATAATTTAATCAATGTCTTTGTAAGACTGCTTTATTGAAAAAAATGTAGCTAATAACATTACATAAGTTATGAGCGTGCAACAAATGTTTGTATTAACACAGTACGATAGATATGCTTATGATTATTATAGTAACATGTAGTTAATAAAAAGTTCTTTTGTGTAATGGCTTTGGTTACAGAGCTCAATTGAGTATTCAGTTAATGATCCCCACTTTCCATGTTCGTTTATGAAAAGGAAGTGCTCAATAATAAAGACAACCCTGTTAAAATATTACAATGCTAAATAAAGATAATGAACAAATATTAAGTCAAATGAAATATTACAAAGCTATAGAGTTGATACTAAACGAAAAACAGTTGATTGTATACATAGTAAATAATATATCATTGACATTAAAACTAAAATATATAAAAAAAATACACTCGAATAATTAAAACTGAATTCTTATTTTTAAAAAACAAATAAAAATAAAATCCTTTTGAGATATTAAAATTAATCTGATGGCAGGTCTAAACTATGCATGCGGTGCATAAAATGTAAGACCGTATTCGAATTTAGTAAAAAACGAAATTCAATATATTAGATGAATTTTGGTTATTGTTGCAAGACTTTATGTTATATAATGTTGTTATTATTGTAACTGTACACAATAATTAAAAATTGGTTGTTTGTTTAGCCATTTGTATGTGAAAATAAGGTGAATAAAACTTATGGTAAGAATTATAGTTCATTTTCCTAGGTTCGAAGATTACAAATCGAAATTTGAGGGCAACATTTTTTAATACATCTTAAAGAAAACGATTTCACTTCTAATTTAAAATTAGTTAAATCTTAAATGTGTAAAATATGAAAAAAACAATTGTTAAAGTAATAGACTTATTAATGATTATTTTTTCTTTAGCAGATGTTCTTATTTTACCAGTTTTAAGATCTTTCAATTACGGGTTTAAAAGAAATCAATAATTTTTAATTACTTATAATAGTTAGTAAAGTAATAGTACTGACCTTCGACGTATAACTGGAACCGAGAATTGTTTGAGAACTCTTCGGTGTGATTGACGAAAGAAAGTATTTCACCTTTTATTGGTAACACAAGATTGCACTCGTATAAACCGGTATCAGACTCTCGCAGGTTGGTTACATTGACGGAAGAACCTGTGTACTTGGTACTTTCCACTACGATTAACCGTCCATCATATCTTTCATCGATTGTCGGTAATTCGCCAAACCATCCAAAAACAATTTCACCCTGTAAATTTGCAATACGTACGTTGCTACAGAATATATTTTAATAAATAATTTATAAAAACGCTAAATATTTTATAAAATATAACTAAATAACTTATTAATATTTTAAACCTCCTTATTTCTCACCTCAATTCAAATCATTGTCTATATATATATATATATATATATATATATATATAGATATTTATAAAAAAAAAAGTTTTACGCTCACATCTTGTATAATTGTAAATTACAAATAATATGTGTAGGTAACACGGAGTAATTCAGAGAGTATAATTGTGTATTTTAAATTACACCGTCTTAAAATTTACCGCAAAACCTTACTGTTACTTGTTAACAGTAAGGTAACATATATTTACATTACGTTTACATTTTATTTTAAACGTCGTCTGACAGTGTTTATAAGCATATTTTTTAAGTAATATCGTAATTTACATAATATTGTTGCCATCGTCATAATAATAATATGTTATATGGAAGATGTTTTACAAATTATTTTACGATTTAATTGATTTTCTTATCTTATCTTATCTTAGCCTTGTTCATATTTACTCTAAGTTTTATAGGTACGTTATATTTTATTTTTAGCTTGTTATCCTTACGTCTTTGGTCCATTGCACTTTGGTGACCTCTTCAGGTGGGTTCGGCTGGCAGTGGAACATGGCGAATTCGCCGACTCTTTTGTTTAGGACGACCGATTTCGAAAAACCGTTTTCTTCAGTGGCCGTAGAGTATTGCAATAAGCAGGCGACCACCACTTGTAGGAACAACCCCTGCAACGGCGAAAGGTTGGTCGGCCTGTAGCGGGCGACGGTCATTTGGCGACTTCGGTCGGCCGTCATGGCGTTAACGATAATAACAGCTAGCAGATATTTACCTATGCAGTATGCAACAGACCTGCAAGTGCTCGGACCAGGAATGAACGTACATGCATATATACCTAGGACTTTATGTGGAAATCATGTCATGTATTATTACTATTATTATTGTTATATTACTGTTAATTATTGACTGTATCGTTATTCCGGTTGAACGGTTGCTTTAATTTTTTGTCTAAAGCACATCACGCACTGGCTATGCGGTAAAGTTCTGGTGTATGTATACCTACACGCCGCACACGCTTACGGCGTTTATATTAGCCAACAATAAGTACTGCCAACAATCTATTGAGTTGCTTCCTGGACGCGACATTAGCAATTCGGTTCAAGGTCTGAATGCAACGACAAAGTGGACCCGTTACGCGCAAAATTCCAAGATGTCTCCAGATAATAATAATTTAAAATATTAATACCATGCGCGTTAATCTCGAGAATGATACAATACGTCTCATAAACTCCGCTGGCCTGAAACTTTATTTTCGCCTTAATCCACGATATCTTTTTATAAACACAGCTGGGTTAATTTTCACACGGCCAATCGTATGCCTAAGCTACTTTATAAGGACAAAAGTTGAAAATATTCTCCCCTTCTCTTTTGAAACCGAGAAAAACACCCCAAAAAATTAATTTATTTTTCAACTTAAAAATACTTAAAAATTAAGCTAATTACGCTGATCTTTTCGAAAAATATTCGATTCATTGTTGTACATTTATTTGAGGTACTCTTTTTATAAATTAATTATTTTTTATAGATGAAGTACCTTCAACATATGTAATAGGTACAGTAAAAACTAAAATTCAAAATGCAGGAAATTTTCCACAAAATGGAGTTTTAAAAACTTAAATACCTACCTAATTGATTGTTTACGGAATATTTAGAAAAAAATAATACAATTACATTTAATTTGACTAAAAACTGAGACATATTTAATGATGATATGTATAATACACTATACAGGATACTTTTCTGGTTTATTTAAAAAATTAGAAATTCAGATTTATTTTCAACTTAACTACGCTGTTTTTTTTATTTTCTGAACAGGTATTTTTTTGGTTTTTATGTTATTTATTAAAGTTTAATTTTGATAAATGTTATTTATTTATAGTAATTATAACACGCTTTTGACAAATTTTCCCAAAAAAATATCGATTTCCTGAATTTAATTAATTTTTTTTTAAATTTATTCATTCTAATACTTTTTCAAACATTTTCTCGGAAAACTTATGTTTTAGAAATGTACAACTCTAGTCAAAGATTTAACTTCTAACTTGACAATATTAAATGGCCCTTTTGTAATTTTTTTTTTAATATTTGTATAGGTAACAATAATTATTATACAAATGACAACATAATAAATAACCATTTTAACACAACACATAACACTATAAATAAACTGGAATAAATATGTTATTGTAATAATTGATTGAGTTGAATATTTATAAGATGGAAAATCATACAGTCAGTTACTTTTTTTGGTAGACTCATTTTAGTATAAAATAATTATTTAAGAATGAAAAATTCAGTTATCTATTTTATTATTTATCATTGGCTAAACAAGTAATTTTGTTTAATTAAAATAAGCCAATCAAGGGGTGATATATCTCCTCTAGGCTCACCATTGCGATGTAGGGTAGTGAGATAATTTCAAAAAAAACTGGGCAATAATATATAGTTACAATTTGACTTATTCAAATAACTAAAAGTTTTTATATTATGATTAAAATTTGTATTCAATTTTGAAAAAATTCAAAATTGGAAGTTATTTTTTACAAGAAAAATTGTATTTACCCCATTTAATTGGCTTACAATTAATTAGTTACCTGAATTTATGCCTAATTGAAGAACCGCGAAAACCGTGGTTTCCATGGTGTTAATAAACAAAATGTGTATAATAAAATAATTAGTTATATTGTACTAAAACTAGTATACCTATTTATTATTAAGTACTGGAATTTCGATGATACTATACGGTTTATTGAACCATCCGTTCATAATTAAGTGTATTGCCCGGAAAGCACGTTACCTTGGATACACCGACAAAAGCTCTAAACACGCGACCACTGCGTGATGTAGGAATGTTGGTTTTCTTACTTACATTTTCACATTCTTGTGCATATGATGTTTGTTTTGCCTGTGTTAACAGCATATAGTACGTTTACTGTATAATAATACCAACTATGTCCAAAAAGTCATTTAATCTGTGCATAGTTTTGCATTTTGTCAATGTAAGTACCTATGTGTTTTATTATTCTAAACAAATAATATACTTCATATTATGAATCTCACACCACGGTGCATCTGGTAAATGTCTCGATTTCGGCCTGTCTGAAAGGTTAATTGTCCAGGAGTGTGGATTTGTCCCAAAGGAATGGTTTACTTGGATATTTGGATTTTCGGCCAAAACAGTAACACGACCTGCGTCGAGCCCAAGTTCCCGTTGAATTTCAACGAGACGTTCAACTTTCACAAAGTACATTATTTCTAGTACAACTAAACGACCGCGTACTTGTAACATGATTAATTGTTTTTTGTAACTCTGTTTCTGTGGCGTTCGATTGCCATTAGAACCTACCGGACGTTTCTAATTTGTACGAAATTCAAAACAAATTGAGTGAAAAATACATGCGAATCGCACTAGTCCAAGTATGTAAGGAAAAATGCATTACTTTAGCGACATTCAACTCGAGCGTCGACTGTGTTCTGTATCCTACACCTAACAGTCGGTTGGGCAGTGACGGAGAAACCGAAATACTTATGAAAAACGAACCAATATTTCCGGTAAGAGATGAATTAAAAAATGTTAAGTATATTCTTAGTTGGACTCATCAAGAGCTATCATAAACTTTAACGCTTGGATAACGTGCACTAATGTTTTTGTCGTAGCCTTATTAAACGAAAATTAATCAAATTTTGTGTCACATGAGATTTTCTCAGTTGGCAAAACAATTTACTAAAAATATTTTCTATTCATTTTATTTACCTAGAGTTGCGTTGCCTTACAAATATCGGTCACAAAATAGGGTTTAAATATTACAATTGTTTTGCTAATTGAGAGTTATCCCGTGGCTGGAACCCTTGATAGCCAATAATTATTGTATGGATTTTATAGGGGACAATCGCTCCAAAAATTGTTTTGATCACTCGGACCAGCATTACTGAAGAGATACATCCTGTAATAAGCGACAGCTCTTCAGAAGTAGAACACCGGCCAAACAGGATGAGAAAAGTCCATCATGGTAAAATGACGAATTCGCAATATTCTCATAGAAGGGACCACGAGTACATATCACTTAGTTTAAATAATTTGTATCTGCTAAGGTTATTTCGCCTTACATTTTTTTGTCATACTTCCATTTCTGGGTTTTTAGATTTACCGCGAACGATTGCAACAAAACGACAGATTCGGAAACAGCAAGTCAGATATATTGTCAAAGAAATAAAAAAGTAAATAACAATGATTCGCATAATTTCTTACTAGAAAAAAGTTTTAGTAACATTATTATAAATGCTGATGGATGGATGCTATCAAACGCATCCAACTGTCAATTTTTTTACCTTCTTCTACTTTTCTTTTAATATAAAACTAAACTTCCTGTTTATATGATTTATTTTTATCTTATGATCCTAGTCACTCTAAACATTCACTTTAAATCATAATTTCACATCTCAACGCCTAGTATTTACCGCTTTCTCAAAGCCATCTGTCAACCTCACCTACACCTACTATACCGTCATGTCTTATCCTCTGGTTTTCACATGCATATCTTTAGCTTCTTTTCTTGGCCTAAGTAGGAGGTACCTACGCATTATTAACTTCCAAGCTTTCTTTCTAGTAATCTTTACCATTGAAAACAAATAGGTATGGTTTGTCTCACAGCACACCTATCTACACGTCTTTATTATATTTTTCAAATATCTATTTTGTTTTCAACTATTTTAAAAATCGTACTTCTGTGACATGCGTTTATTTACCTATTGAGTAAAGATTTTAATAATAAATTACATATTATTAACATTGTTTTGTCTAGGCTAGTAGAAATAACAGACACAATGAATGCAAGTGTATGTTAGAAAAAACGCTTCATTGTAAGTCGAGCATAATATCATTTTTTTTTACTGTATTTTTGTACCGGCTGTATTTGTATGAACAATTTTTTCAGACGATCACTGCAGAAATGCGAAGAGTAAAGGACACGACAATAATCACAAGTAATGATTTTTTAAACTACCATATTTGAATGTTTTTTTTGTGATAGCAGATTATTATTATAGAATTATAATGCCAAATTCGGTTACTAAATAAGTATCCATACTTTTGGACTTGTTTTTCTAGCGACTGGAAAGACCAAACGTCAAATTCCGAGCTTAACTGTAAATCTTTAACCCATAACGAATTTACAATATGCGAAATCACGCCAAAGATGATCGGTAAACAAATTAAAGCCAAACTCAAATTATGTGCAAATCACTGCAAATGTTATAAGACAAAGTTGAACAATTGTACGTATATGTTCCTTGTTTTGTAATGACATTACATTTGTAATAATTTTAGATCGTTAACAAATTGTTTATGTAAAAGGCTGCTGTTTAAACGGAAATAAATGGTCTAGGTAAGTATTTTCTAATGATAATTTTTAAAAAAAATTGTTTCAAAACGACCTGACAACTCGTAGCTTTCCTATCCCAACTTACCCTGATCGAAACTTGTTTTTTAAGCGATGAGGATAGACCGAAATCGGTAGATAACAATCAAAAACGATGTACAGATTATGGGGAAGAACCGCGAAAGATGAACTCAAAGATAAAAGCAAGACTCCATTTGGGTCCAATGTGCTGCAATTGTGGAATGCTTAGTTGTACAACGAGGCCTGGCTGTTAAATCTTAATTTTTCAAATTAGGATATTTACTATCTAGTCGATTATTATGAAATAAAATATACTGTACAACCAATACGAATATGTGGTTTTCGTTTATAACATCTTTATTTTCATTGTAAGAAAAGTCGGTAAATATGTTACCGCTGCCTCAAGCAAAACAGGATTATTTTTCTCTATTAATTTTATTTTATAAAATGATTTATGTTATTCTAGTAATATAAAAACATTTTCCTTATTAGATTACACAATATATTAGATTTCTCATTATAAAAAATATTCAGTAGATTATAAGCAACTTAAATAGTTTATGAAAGGTTTTTACATAGTTGCGGTAACATTTTATAAAAAAAGTGTATAATATAGTTGAAACTTACAGCGAATAGTTTTTACCATTTACAATTTGGCAACAGAGTGATTTTAAATTTATTCGACTTTTGTAATATATTTTATAATTTGAATTGTGTAGGAGAAAGACGTGTAGCGAAGTAAACAGACAAGACACAAAGCATACATATTTCAACACGGAATTATTATAGTTTATAAAAAATATTTTGCTATAGTTGAATAGTAGGACGGCATTTGGTAAAGCTTGACAAGTTACTTACATAAATGTTAAATTTCATAGAAATTAATAATAATCCCCACAACCTAAAGGTTAAAAAAAAAAAATGATGTACCTAATTACCATATTAATCAATAGGTAAAAAAATGTATTTTAGGTACTACTTTATTTGGAAAGCTAACACATATTAGTGTACTTAAAAAGTATCAAAACTCTATTATGAAATGACTATTTGACCTAAGCGACAATTATTATACTTTTTAGCGAGACGAAAAAAATTCAACTAACATTGTTGAATTCTATTAATTTGAATAACAAAGTTTTAGTTAACGTTGTATGAAAAATATTTATTATCTACATTTCGTAGTAGTATTAGTAAATAACTCTTATTTTGTTTTTAAATTTAAAGACAGTCTCCTTTTATTAATAAGAAAAATAATGTCTGATTTTTCTTACAACTACTACTTATCAACTTTATATTAAATATTAAAAAAAAAAAATTACAATAGGTTAAATAATATATATAATTTTATACTAACAATGTATTTTTTTATAATAAGAATCAATAAAACTTGACAATTTTACTCAGCACCACCACTCTGAAAAAAAAAGAGCAATATTTAGTTATTACAATAATATAGTCTATATAATCATATATGTATGTTATTATTTAACAAATATTATTAATATTATTAATATATTAACAAATAACTTCTTGCTAATTTAAAATAATGTGGAAATGTAACTGTCACAAATAATAATAAATATACAACTATTAATTGTTTAACTTGCGTTATCATATATACTAATTATTTGTTAGCAATAAGCGACACTAATTTATTGTCATATTTTGTTAAACATTTAAATTATAAAAGTGCAACGGACTTAAAAAAAAAGTAAAATTTCAAACGAAGCAAGACAACTTTTTACATTACTCATTAAATGTCTAAATTTGGTTGTCTAAAAAGGTTAATATTTAATAATGGACAAAAACTATCGGCTTAACTATACATACGTTAATAGCATTGATTTCTACTTCGTCTAACTTCCCTCGTTGGAACCTTGAAGGTAACTGATTAAGTTCTAACGAGTGCACACCATCTGCAGGAGTAGTTTGTGACTGTGATCCAGAGTGATCTGAAACATACAAAATCAAACTATTAATAATTATTTATTATTTTAAACATTTTTTTGTGAATATGTCAAAAAAAAGTTAATTTTAGTATATAAATATGATTTCCTGATTGAAAATATAAAAATGTTACTTGTATTTAATTATTTCAAATTTAATTTGCTTTAATTTAATGTGAATGTATAGGAAAATTCATTGAACGTAACTTATATTTTCTAAGAAAAAAATAGTAATTTTGTAATATTTGGATACTTAATATTATACAATTTTACATTTATATGGGCTAGCTGCACAAAGAAAGGTGCTGTGATTATAAATGCGATTCAAAATACCAATACTTTCTGCTAATGTATCGAAACTAAAATAAAATATAATTAGCGGTTATCATAGTCTCGTACCAATATTTTTTTTATGATTGATATCAAAAATAGATAACACAAAATATTCATGAATATTTGATGTAGATAACTATGACATATAAGATAGTTTAATGGATCCTTTAAATATATATATATATATATAAGTGTAGACGAGAACCGACGTAGTCTGAGCAAGGCTCGGTCACTTCTCATGTTTTTTAATATTATGTTACTGTTATATTATTAATCTACATAGGTGCTGGTCCACACTTTATAAGTAAGTACCTAAGTACATAATATTAGTTGTGAAATATTACGTACTGTTTCCTTGAGTTCCATAACGGAATCGAATTAACGGCTTATGAGGCTTAACAGTCTAAATGAAAAATAAATAAATTATAAGAAAATCAATAAAATGAAAAACCTTCTAAACAATTATTACATTTACCTGGTAGAATCTAATCACAGTTTTCGTATTCATTATAAATTATTTGTGATACCTAGTGTGCAACTGGATCACGTAAACCTGTAAAATAATGTTTTTACGAAAAAATTAAAAATTGTTTAATTGAATTCAAATGGTTATCGTATGTCGATTAAATTTTGGAATTTGTATTTTGCTATCGGTAAACAATTTACTTATATGGCCATCGTATCCAAGTACAGCACAGCTGCTGTGAATTTTAGTTAATTGATAAGTGATAACGCTTATCGGGTTAACGTTTACTGTTTACGTTTTTTATCAACTTGTCCACGTTGAGGTTTATACCACAGATTGGATGATCCTAAAAAAAATATTAAACTTCATGAAATTAAATAAAATCAATACACAAAATTTGTAAAATTAAGTTTTATTTAATATGCGATGTAAACCATGAAGACTAGAAGAAATGAATGGCTTAATTAATGCCATGGTTTGAACCATAATGATTGAATGAACTTAATGGATTTCTAGTCATTATGGTTCAAACTATGATATGAGATTAAACAGTACACACGTCTACACAGTACACACCACACGGTTGAACAGTGAATATGTTATGTATATATTTTTTTCTGTATGTTGTCTACTGACAATAATTACTATTAAACTATCGGTTATCTGATTAATAATTTATCAATCATATCTAACATCTTCCGAGTGCTGTGCGGATGGTGAAGAAGCGGCGTCGGCGGCCTACTAGCTAAATAATTATTTAGTACATTTTTTCATTTATTGGTATGTAATTTAAATGTCCCGTGTCGTTTTGTACGGTGTTTTATAAAAAATCCGGTAATATATAATAACACATTGTCGGTTCACCATTCATATTTGTTGTGAACTTTCTCAAAACACGTTGGTGTTGTTTTATCTAACTGAAACAAGGAGGCTAAAATAAATATAATGAACATTTCTTAGGACACCGACAACTTCTTAATGGTAGATAAAGAAGAAATCGATTTAGAACATTCCACCGCTGTTCAAGTTGTGACAATGCAGCATAGCCAAAAACGTAATTCGTATTTGAAAGGAATCACCTTGATTACGTTGACGTTACAGAATGCTTTGGTTGCGCTCAGTATGCGACACGCGCGTACGCGTCATAAAGAAATGTTCATCTCGTCCACAGCTGTCGTCATGGCAGAAGTTGTTAAACTTAACATCTGCCTAATATTAGTATACAAGACTGAATCAATTTCGTGGAAACATTTTATATCGCTGCTCGACAACACAATCATCAAGCAACCAATGGATACGCTTAAAGTCTGTATTCCATCATTAGTATATTTAATACAGAACAATCTACTGTATGTATCAACATCAAATTTAGATGCAGCTACATATCAGGTAACATACCAATTGAAAATATTGACTACGGCTGTATTTTCGGTAATAATTCTCAATCGTAAACTTATGAGACACCAGTGGATTGCGCTTTTGGTTTTGATTTCTGGAGTAATTCTTGTTCAGTTGAACGATACAAACGAAAAGAAAACTCTAAATGAACAAAATCGATTGTTGGGCATAACTGCAGCACTTATTGCCTGTTGTTTGTCTGGGTTTGCTGGAGTGTTTTTTGAAAAAATATTGAAGGGTGCTGACATTTCAGTATGGATGCGAAATATTCAATTAAGTGTTGTTTCTATACCATTAGGCTTCATTGTTTGTTTTATAAACGATTGGAGCCATATTAATACTAAAGGATTTTTTTTTGATTACGACTGGTATATAGTATATTTGATTTTTTTACAAGCAGCAGGTGGACTGATTGTCGCTATGGTTGTTAAATATGCAGATAATATTTTAAAGGGTTTTGCCACATCATTAGCAATTATTCTTACGACCGTATTCTCTGTATATTTTTTCGAAACCAGTATTAATATATTGTTTGCTTGTGGCGCACTTTTGGTGATGTTATCAATATTTCTCTACAGCTATACTATAGAGAAAAAATCACCTAACACGAATACCATACAGAAGGCGTAATGAATATTTATGAAATTTTTACTATACTACTTATGATTGTGAATTTATATGTAAAACGACATACTTAATAAATATAGAATTATGTAAAATAATATACTTAATAGAAAAAACTGAAATTAAATTTTTATATCTAATGTTTTTGTTTAAATAAATATTGTTTAATTTTAAGCTTTTGTGATGAGAGTCATTATAAAAATAAAATGGATGTTATTCACATCTAACTTCAAGGGAATAAGCAATATTTACTTTTTGTTTAATTAATAATGTTATCAAAATATTATACATGTTTAAAAATTATGTTAACATTTCTAAAGTCTGTGAATTATTGTCTAACCAGTATTAATTTATATACTAATTTAAATGAAATTTTAGAAACAAAATTTGGCAAACCTGTTTAAATTATTCCAAATTGAGAAATATTTTGTAAATATTTCAGATAGTAACAGATAGTTTGACATTAAAAACATACAATAAATTAAATAATTTGTTTTAATTATTTTTAAAAATGCTGCTTGTTTGCTTTAGTAGCGTAAAAACTTTGATGTATAAAATAAATCCATAGTATTATTGTATTATTAATATTATTGTTATTGTAAGTTATTTATTTTTTTGTACACTTGAAAATGACAATATTACATTGTGTATATTCTACTAACAAAAAGTATAAAATCAAAATGTTTTTTATTATACTACTTTTTTTATTTATTAAACTAAATCTATTTCCTAATTTTATGATTTGTCTTAAAATATTAAGTATCAAATTTACAATTACACGTTTATCAATCCCATGTGTTCTTGAATACATCGGTACATCGCAATTAAGCAAGTGTTTCTAATTATAATTGGAGAGTTTGGAATTTATAATAATATTGTAGATTGGTGATATTTTTTTCTATATACATCCGTCCGTCCTCCGAGATAACGTCTTAATCGTGTTTAACGTCCTTATGTCTGTTATAAATTATAATTCGTGTATACTTATTAGCTATTACTTTCCTATTAGTATACCTAATTAATGAAATGACCCATTCTGTTTGATTACTATAATTTGAGCGTATTGATTTTTTTGTGAAATAATTCGGTAATAACGTAGTGTAACTTAAGAATGAAAGAAATTGTTTTTTGAAACAAGGTCGCGGATCAAGGTTGGAGTTCAAGCGAATTTGGTACAATGTATAATCTAATAATAATAACAATAATATTTATACGAGTTGTTTACCAATACAATTATAATATATATGAAATAAATAAAGAGGATTCCTTGTAACATATGTATGAACAGCTTATTGTAGGTATTACTTATTTATGTGATACGGTTATTTGATATTTCAACAGCTGTCTTAAAGGAAAATCCCTCGGGCTTAAAACAAATATATTAAAAAAAATAAAATTATAGCGCAACATTTTTTGCTGTATTGCGATTTATCGCACGATATTATAATGTGATATTTCAAAACCATTCAAGTAATATTATTGCCAAGTTGTCGGTCTCCATTATTAGGTGCAATTTTTCAAATCGTGATAATCGCCTCTATCAGCATTTGTGTGTGATGTTTATATGCCATTTCCTAGTAAAGCGCGTACATAGTTTTTTATCATTATACATATATAATATAACTGCATCGTTTTGCCAGCATGTAATATAGCAATTAAGTCTTATTATGGTTGTTTTTTACTATTAGTACTATAAGTTGCGATAAGGAGATAACGCACACGTACAATACCGTCAATTCAACATAATAATATGTTACTTGCTTTGTTTGTAGACTTGAAACGAGGAAAACGAGAATGTATATATTTTTATGGTAAATGTACAAAGGTAACATATATGGATAATTTTTTTTTTTAATGGTATTCCAATCGTGCATAAATTATATTAATGCCTGAAATCTGGAATGGAAGAGCAGTTTAGGTTTTTTTTTGTTTTTTAAATAATTCATAATTCAATGCATAAATAATATATTATTATATAATCGCCTGTTTAGATAGCTTAACAGACGATTGTTTTGTTGTGAGGTCGTTTTGGATAACACTGTACAACACGACTCGGAAACAAGAAGCAAAATTTATATTTTTTGGAAGAGGAGGGAATTGTTTTACTTAGCTGAAACTGGTCTCATATTTTCACTAGCACATAGTTTTATTATAATAGAATTTCTGTTCTGTAGAAATCTTTCGAGAACATTAGTCTAACGATTCAATTGTTAAGATCAGTTAGTTTATGATACTTAAAAAAGTAAAAAAAAAAACAATCAATCCAAGAATTTCTAGATAAATATTTTATGAGTATTTATACTATTTTTTGTGTCTAAAAAATATATTTTAATTATTATTTAAATGGTTTATAATATTTACAATGCTGATAAAACATTTAAACCACCGTTTTGTATTAAATATTAGTTAGGTATACATTTATATAGATAGATTACATTTAAGACTAAATAATGATTATAACAATTAAAAATTATTTAAAAAACATTTAATTTTCTTTTGCCAATTTAATTATTCTTATGGTTGGCGCGTAAATAGGCAACTATAAATACATGTGTGACGAAATGGTCACGAGCTAATTATGTCGGTGATACAATGAACAGTTTGTGATGATTTTGGCTACATTTCCAAGGTTCTAAAAAAGATATACCGAATATTAATCTAAACCGTATACCAATATTTAATATTATCAACGGTCTAACATTTTAAACGCTTTTAATATGAAGCTGAGAAGGTATTAGTTTCACAATTATGGGTTTTCATTTTTGTGCCTGGACCAACCATAACTTTTTATCCACTGGGCTAATTTCTTCATAGTTCAAAAACAAATGCTTGGAATAATTAGTCATCAACTAGCTACTACTTTTAATCAACTATTCTTGTTTTAATGAAATACCTAGCTAATATCATTATCAGAGAAATGCGTCGTACACTTGTACAACACATTATTGAAATAATACAATTAGATGGTACTTTTTAATCTTTTCAGGATACTTGTAAGCAAAAACAAGTTATTATATATGTGGTCTATAAAGATAAAAAGTGTCTCATAGTCACACCTGTGCATTATAATTGTATTCATTTTAGAATATGTAGGCTGTAGCGATAATACGAATAAATAAAGTATGTCAGCAACTAGTGTTATCATTTGTCAATATTTACAATATTAATATCGTTTTTGGTTAGATAAACATGGGATGGTCCACCGACAACACTAGCAGTCATTTTACGGATATTTCAAATTGCCAACATACAACGGTACTTATTTTGTCTTGCCAACATATCAACGATATAATTGGCAATAATCGAGGTCGTTTAATTAAGGAATCATTATAGTTATTATTTTCTGAGCCTTAGATCCAATATCATGTTTTTTAACGATGTAAAAAAAAACTATTTATAATCATCGATGTAAGGATAAAAAACGACTAACATAAATTTCCTCACGGATAAGGGTAAATTTTAACTTTAAACAGAAAAAAAAAGATTGATAACGTATTAAATTCACAGCAAGACTAAATTAAGGGGACTGAATAGTGTTGAAGTATGATTAGGACAAAACTTACAAAACTATAGCACATTTTTATTTAAAAGAAATGTCATGTTGCACATCGAATTATATGTTTTTGAGATCGCTGAATTTAAACAGACACCATTTCTTCAATTGCAAGTAATTGCAGCTGAATTTTTTCCCGTTTATTTAGACCTTATTGTGTATATTTTGTATGTTGGTTTTGAGAGTTCGCCTGAATTGTAGAGTTAAGAATCATGCAAAAAAAATCTATAGTGAATACTTTTCTTGGGGTTTTACAAACGAAAAAATGTGATGGTAAACTCAATGGAATGTACATAACTTTCTTTAAACTATTTTTTTCATGCCATTAAAAATCAATTAAAAAATGAGTGATAATAAAGGTAAAATAACAGCAGTTAACCACTCACTTAGTTAAAGCAGATAAAGTAGCAAAAAAAAAAATGTTAAAAATTAAAAATGTGAATTTTTATATACTATAGTACTTTGTTAATAACTAGTAAATTAGATAGGGGTCTACGCCAATTTTGAAAAAAAACATTTTCGATCGCCTTTTTCGGATTCTAGACCACTATACAACGACACCATGCAAAATAACAATTACATTATTTATATTAACTATATTATTTTCTGAGTTCTAGTTAAGTTATTCTTTTTAAACTGAAAGATATTTATCTATTTTGAATATATTTTTACAATGTATGTAATGCATGGCATGGCGTAGAGTGCATTGTCCTGTGTGTGTGCAATTCACTGTCCTTACTTATCGGGCGAAATATGACCGTTACAAGAGCAATGGCGAAAAAATTTAATTTTCGAAAATTATGACTTAGTTATTTTGTGCATTCTCAGCTGACGAATGATAAAATATGCAAGACGTACAAATTATAACATGTAAAACGTATAGTGCGCGCAAATAATAATGTTTCAAACTACATAACTATAGTGCCCATCAATGTGTATCGTGACGGTTAAGCATTTGAAGTGTATAAACATTACAAGTTATTTTTTTCACCCTTTAAAACAATTTGAACGCCGGTAATGATGCGCGGTTGAATGGTTTTTTTTTCGGTGGTCTTCGACCCATATTCACACTTAAGTAGACACCGTTACAACAAAGCGACGAGGGTTCTTTCACCTACTATAATTTTTGATCAAATAAAAACTTGTGCGCGCGAGAATCTAGACACATCAACACCGATTCGGAGACAATGCCCAAGGTATGCTCTAAACGTGAGCGCATAACTTGGCCTAGATCTGCCGTTTTCTGTCACAACCGTGCCATTGTCAGTAGGTCTAATTTAACATAGTACCTATTATAATATTATATCCATACAAATATGTACCTAATTTAATAATAAGTCTACGCCAAAAAACCGCATATCGCATGACTTAAAATTTTAATTTGGTTGATGTATATATTTTTACTTTCAAATACCAGTTATATTTCGATTAAGGCATACTTGATATCTGTAGATTTGTATTGCAAAGCTGTGATTTATAATGATAACGCAACAGAAAATTTTACTATATCGACTTTGAAAATGTTGTAGGTTAACTCAGTAGGTCAGATTACATTTACCAGGACCGTATTATTCACTAAGAGTGCGCATACTTTATTATTATTATTTATTTATATTTAACATTTTTAAAGGGTAAGTTTTTCTAAAAATGTTGACTAGTCAAGAACTAGTTTTCGAGAATAATTTTGGAGTGTCTGTTCAGAAGTTTAGACGACCGGAAAGATTTTGATCAGTAGTCAACTGATGTAAACAGTTTTTTTAAATTACTAAAATAAATATCCCTATTAATAGTGACTGTATGAAAGTTTAAAAGAATTAAGTTTCATATAAATATATATAATTTTAACAGTTTAC